TCACGTCCTCGAAATTTTATCAACCGGTTTAACGAATGGCGCAGTAAAATTTAATAATTTATTACAAGAAAAGGTACGAATAACGGGATCCGTCCAAAATCCGAAATTCAAAATCCCGAAGGTACGTTATCCCGACTAGGGATGGCAACGGTCACGGTCATTAACCGGTTATGACCGGTCATGACCGTGACCGATATCGGTCGGTCAAAGACCTCTGACCGACCGTTTGACCGACCGTTTAACCGATCCTGAAAACGTTTGCGAAACGTAATTTAATAAAAAAATGTTTCGCAAACGTTTTTTTAATTATTTTAATAGAAAATGTTGCGAAAACGTTTTTTATTAAGTATTTCAATTAAATTACATTTCGCAAACGTTTTCAGGATCGGTCAAACGGTCGGTCAAACGGTCGGTCAACGGTCGGTCGGTCGGTCAAAGGTTCTTGACCGGTTATGACCGACCGATGACCGACCATGACCGACCGTTGCCATCCCTAATCCCGACCCAAAATGTCAAAATCCCGAATTGTTTACAGCAAAATTCGAAATATAGTGGACACTTGAAAATTTTTATTGTCGGAATTGTGGGTTACCCGGCTAGTCGGGTTATTAGAAAAGAAAATAAATTTTACTATAATATAACACATTCTAACCCGAGTACCCGACAATCCCAACAATAACATTTTCAAGTGTCCACTATATTTCGAATTTTGCTGTAAATCCCGGATTTTATAATCCCGGCACTCCCATAATACTGATTTTCTTTCTTTTATTAATAAATTTAAATTTCAAGATTTTTCATTTCGGTATTTTTCATTTCGGGATTGTGAAGTGTCGGGATTTTGACGTTTAGGGATTTTGAGTGTCTGGATAATGTACCTTCGGATTTCGAGTTTCGGGATTTCGTACCAAACCCATACATGACACTAATGTATTCATATGTGTAAATATATTAGATCGGCTCCCAGGATCAATTCCTTGTTTAAAAATAGCCAGGATCGTATATATAATGCATGACGTGTTTGCATTTCATTTTATTCTGGTTTAAATTATATTTTTTCTCAGTTTATTAACAAAGAAAGTGTCCTTTTGCATGTTTACAAAAAGTTTAAATGTTCATTAACTGTTAAGTTAAATCCTGTAAACTAATCCAAAATTTAGAAATATAATAATTATTTAACCATTTTTAGTGAACTTATATTGGTAACTTTACCAACATGATTGACATAAAAGTATTTTAAATCTTTATTAGTAGTTTTTACGATGAGATTAAATGAGATTTTCGAAACACTTTCAATTTGTTATTATAATGTATATGAATCATATTGGAGATGATTATTTTTTAATATTCCCAGAATAAATCCTGTATGTTAAAGGTAAGTATAATCTAAATAAGGTAAGTGAATTTAATAAATTTGAGTCAATAGGAAATTTTGGCGCGCAGCTGCGCGTTAGTACGTATCCAAATTTATTTTAGCGTTAATAGTTTTGGCAGTTAAAGCTAAATTCAGTACGGGATTAAATTTTAAGTTTTTGTTACAATCATAAAAAATGTTTATTTTACCACGTTTCACAGATAACAAAAACCAATTATTTTTAATTGAAAGGAGATAGCAATCGGTTTTTCGCTGATGATAGGTCAATATATTTGAAAAAAAAATTGGTATATGTGATAAAAATCCGGTTTTTCACAGTTATTTCATAGAAGAATTTTTTAATTAAAATGTATAAATTCTAGAATATGCAAAATATAATTAACATGATAATAAATTTTGATCAATTAAATAAATAATTTGAATAATAACAAATAATAATTAATTAGTAAATTCCTAAACTAAAAAAAAATCATAGAAAATTTATTGTAAATTGGTCGTCGATTCAATCATTTATAAATAGATATTCAACGAAAAAATTGTTTTGGGCGATTTATTTTCACAAAAGAATTTATATGTTCACCTAAAAATCATCATTAAAAAAAAAAATATTTATATACGTAACAGTAGTGACATTCTAACGTCAGCGAAAATTTTTTCAAATTTTTTAGAGATAAAATTAAAAATCAATGTTTTTTTTAGAGAAAAGTTAATTTGTAAAAGAACCTTAAATGGATTTTTTTTGTGTTAAATAGTTTTTTTCTCGTGATTATACAGTAGTTGTAGTATAGTAAAATTGTAGGTAACTGCTATATAGGTTATTATGTAATAAATTCGGCTTGTATCATTTATTTATTTTTCAATTATTTCTACAGTCTTATATGAATAAAACTCAGTCATACAGTGAATACTGCGCCTCATACACGCGATAGTTCGAGACGATATATTGATCATGTGATCAGTCATCTTGACAAAAATATTGATTTAAACACCGATCTTTAGAAAAAAAATTCCAGTTATTTTTCAATTACTCTTATTCCTAGGAAGCAAGAGTAGAAGGAAAGAAACTCAACCCGGAATTAAAGACCCAAAACGAGAGCCTCCTGTTCCTATTCTTACACGAAAAGAATATCCCTCTCTTCATCTTGTTTATTATAACAAGAAATATTATTTTAATGAAGTTTTGCATTCCCTTTTTTGAAACTCACTTCCGATTTCCGAAAAAATTAAGTGTGTGAAAAAATTTTTTAAAAAATTTCAAACTTCCTTTTTCGAAACTTATTATTATCTGGGATTCTAGTTTTTTAACAGAGCTGATTCCCTAATCTCTACAAGAAGGACGAAACTTAAAGTATTTTGGAGTTCGGAACTAATTTTTCCTACAAAAAAGAAAAAAAATTAAATAAAATCTTTTTTTTAAAAAGGTTTGAATCATTTTTTTGAAATTTATCTGAAATTTCAGTTTTCAGGTTGAAGCCAGTTTTCTACAAAAATGAAAACTAAAAAAAAATTTTTTTAAAAAAAGCTTCAAATTCATTTTTTTGAAACTTACAATATTTTGAAATCGGTTTCCAAGTCAGAGTGGATTCCTTACAAAAAGAAAAAATAAGAATAAGTTTTTTTTTAAAAAGTTTCAAATTTATTTTTTCGAAACTTACCATTACCTGGATTCTCGATTTTAAGTTGGAGCCGATTTTCCTACAAAAATGGAAAAAGAAAGTTTAAAAGAAAAGTTTTTTGTTACAGTAAAGTTACGAATATATTCTTCGAAACTTATCTGAGATTATGGTTTCCAAGTTGGAGCAGATTTCCCTACAAAAAAGAAAAAAGAATGTTTTTTATCTGTTTTGTAGAAAATTTAGCTCCGACTTAGAAACTGGAATCCTAAGTTTCAAAAAAAAAACGAATTCGAAACTTAAAAATAAAAAAAAAATTTTTTCTCTAGTTTTGAATTCTTTTTTTTTTTTTTTGAAACTTACCTGTCCCAAGCGTCCAAACTCATCTAAAAGTTAGCAAATCCGAGTCACAGAGATCCTACGTCTAAAAAAGAAAGAATAAAAATTATTACAGAATAAAGAAATTAAATAAATAATACACTCACCAAAATCCCGCGTCCATAGAGCCAAAAAAATGCCTAAAAAAGAAAAAAATGAAACGGTTCTCCTAGCGTTTCGTTGAAACTATTATTCTTTTTTAGACTTTTAAATATTTCGAAAGTATATTAAAAGTATAAAAGTTTAAAAAAATGTAAACTGCGATTGCTGCTGTAGTTATTAGTTCATGTAGTCTTATTCCACATTAATTATTTATTTGTTTATCGTTTACTATTAACGTTAATGAAAATAGATCTTTTCTCTCTAGTTTTCTTTCAAAAAATATTTTAAATGTTTTGTTAATAAAGTTATGATCCCTCCTCTCTTACCCATATTGATAAAAAAATATCAGAAGTATAAAGTATTGTCATAAAGTTATAGAAATTTCATAATGTCATAACAAATATATTTTTTATACTGTAAATATTTTCAGCACTTTGGTCAGACTAAACACTCGAAAAATACCTAAGAAAAATTTTTGTAAGATATGTTAATATTGCACATTAATGTTTGCTAGTCTAGCTTGAAATTATGGTGGTTGAATAATATTAAGATGCATTTGTCTTTTACTTTTAGAGTATAAACGGAACGAATGCTTTAGAGTTTTAGACCTTTAGTCAAAAAAATAAGTTATTCAGTAAGTATTGAAATTTTGTATATTAACTTTCATGGGGAGCTTAAATAGTTGCGAAGGTACAAAATTTTTTTTAATAACATTAAGACGCATTCCTTTAATAAAAATTTCAGGTTAAATACTATTATCATTTAATAACATTAATGGATTGTGGTTTTGGCATTAATTTAATAAACTTTTACTTAGAGTAAACTTTGTATTTTCAAGATTAAACTAATACTTTTTAAATAAAATAAATAATTTTATTATGATTTATTAATTAAAATCTTTAAATATTCAAAATTGCATAAAAATGTAAATTTTTAAAAAATTTTTGACGCGCGCGAAAAAAAAAAAAATATTTTCTATTTTCTAGGATAAATGAATGTTACATGAAAATGTGTGGTTGAACCAATAATATTCAGAAGGAGGGATAAAGTTGTAATTTCCGTAATTTTCCGACCTCTTGTAATTGGTGTTCGGAATGGGTGATCACTGCGGTAAAAATTGCCTGCAGTGAGAACTCTTAAAATGCTGCATAAATTCTTAATTCATAATAAAATAATGTACGTTAGTATCATGTGGATGAAGTCCCCGATAATGAACGAATATTCTAGTTTGTACCTACAAGATCTGGTTGGCCAATATATAATCAGATTTTTTTACTATGATAAGTTTATGGAATACAGTATCGTTAAGCAATATAAAACAATAATCTGAGTTCGTGTATCCTTCCTCTTTTGGATAATGCCCGGGCGTGTAATTATGGGCCTGGACCAATTTATAAATTGCTCGGATATTGGTGGCGCTGTACAACTATTATTGTAGAATAGAATTGATTGTATAAATAGGTACAAAATATAACTTTTACAATTCAATCTTATCGTTTATAAAATTTTTCTGACAATTATTATTATTCATTATGTCCGATAATACAACAATACAAGATATCGAAAATACAAATAAGTCAAATACTTGGATTGAAGAAGTTATTGATAAAGAATACTTAAATTATTATGAATATAACCAATTTAGTAACATTCAAAAAATTGGTGCCGGAGATTTCGGAAAAGTGTACCGTGCAAATTTGAAAAATTCATTATAATTTTTTTCGTTATTATTTTTTATCAAAATTTGAATCAGGTATTATAAAATTATTTTAAAAAGTATAATATTCTAAGTTTTATTTCTAAAATCACATTTCAATAATTGTTTTTTTTTTTAGAAAATCATCATATTAATTATATCCTGGTAATGGAATATGCAGACAGTGGTAGTCTTCGAAACTATTTGAAGGATAATTTCGGTAAGCTTACTTGGAATGATAAGCACCATATGGCCTATCAGTTAGCTTGTGCTGTATCATGCCTACATAATAAGGGAATTGCACATTGTGACTTGGTAAACTTATTTATTATTATTATTTGACCAACGACTGCTTATAACGATAACGTTATATTTTTATTTGTTTATTAAAACATTTTTATTTTTAATAGCATTCTTACAACATATTAGTCCATCAAAATATGATCAAATTGGCAGATTTTGGTTTATCGAAAAGAATCGGAACATCAACTAATTTTCAATCCAAAGAAATGATTCCTTATGTTGATCCAAAAATCTATAATAACAACAATAACCAAACAACACAAATGTTTTCATTAAATGAAAAAAGTGATATTTACAGTATTGGTGTGTTACTATGGGAAATTTCTAGTGGGCTACCTCCTTTTTATGCTAAAGATAAACAATATGATGTTAATTTAACTTTGAAAATTGCACAAGGTCTTAGAGAAGAAGTTGTTTTTAATACACCTGAAGATTACATAAAAATTTATACTAGTAAGTAAAATTTTAATTTAATTAATTTAGTTATAATTTAATTATTACTTTAATTAATTTTAAATTATTTTTTCTTTTTAGAATGTTGGGATGGTGAGCCAGATAATCGTCCTACTATATATCAAGTAGTTGATTGGTTAAAAGCAATTATTACAAAACTAGACGTAATAATAAAAGATACTCAATTCTCAAACAATCAAAAACTTAATTCAGAATCACAAGAAGAATTACTTCAACTTAACAAAAATTTTAGTAAAATAAATATAAAAGAAATTGATTCTATAACAGTATCATATAAACGAGAGAAACTTTTGTTTGAAAAAGGGTTTGACATATTAGTTGATGAAATGAATGATTATTTAATTAAATTAGCAAATAAAGGAATTGAATGGATATTATTAAGACAAGAAGTTATTGAATATTTTAATAATCATAATATTAATTTAAAAGAAATTTATAATTGGTTATTAAATAATCAAAATAATTCAAATTCTATTTTTTTACTTGGATATTTTATTTTTTTTGAAATTGAAACAAAGCTTAATGCTGTGAAAGCATTTAATTTATTTATTAATGCATCAAAAAAAAATCATATATTTGCACAATATTTAGTTGGAAGTTGTTATAAATTTGGTAATGGAACTATAAAAAATGAAAAATTAGCTTTTGAATATTTTGAAAAAGTGGCTAATAAAAATTTTACATATGCTCAAGTTGAAATTGGTTTTAATCTGTCTCTTATACACATCTAGATGTGTATAAGAGACTAGTTGGAAGTTGTTATAAATTTGGTAATGGAACTATAAAAAATGAAAAATTAGCCTTTGAATATTTTGAAAAATTGGCTAATAAAAATTTTACATATGCTCAAGTTGAAATTGGTTTTAATTATAAGAATGGGATAGGTGTTAAAAAAAATTCAAAAAAAGCTTTTTATTGGTATGAAAAAGCTGCAAATAATGGAAATTTAATAGCTTTAAATATTCTTGGACTTTATTATAAAGAAGGAATTGAAGTTGAAAAGAATTATAATAAAGCTTTTGAATTATTTGAAAAATCAGCTGAAGGAGGATATTCAGATAGAATAAATTCATTAGGATATTGTTATATTTATGGTGTTGGAACTAATATTGATATGCAAAAAGCATTTGAATTATATCAAAAATCAGCAAATTTGGGAGATAAGGGAGCTCAATATAATCTTGCTATGATGTATGAAGGAATTACAGATATGGATAAAGCTATTTATTGGTATGAAAAATCTGCCCAACAAGGTGATCAAGATGCACAATATGAATTGGAAAAACTTAAAAAAAATCAATAATTTATGAAAAATTCAATTTTTATTAAAATTTAAATTGTAAAATTCCACAGGTAGAAAATATAATGCTATAAGACAAAATAAGTACCAAATTTATGTCAATATAATTTTAAAAAAGCAAACATTATTTCAACATTTAAGGTAAATAAGCAAACGAAGTCCCTAAGCAGATTATACATCAACATTGCACGTTAAAGATAGGAAATTTTTTAACATGGTTTAAATTAGAACTTAAGTATATCTAACATACCTACTTATTCGAAACACAGCAGCCGCACTAATTCTTCATCATTAATCCATTACACACTACTACCTATAGTAAAAAGAAGTTGTCGCTAACGTACAATGTAAAATCCCATTGAAATAAGCGTAATCTTATGTTTTTATATTATTGAAGCTAGTAGCTTAGATTATTACTAAATGTCTATGATAAAGTAAAACGTAATCATTTTTCAATATCTATTTGAATACTAAAGATTACTTACATTATTTGAAAAAAAAATGATAAATTTAAATAATAAAAAAAAAACAAGTGTTCTTTTTCATGAGAGTTGGATATCTGATTTTAATAAAACTTTGTAAATGTGAATCAAATATCATTTCAAACTGAGCGGACCAAATTGGACCGACTCACCTGGTTCAGCTCAAAGTGTATGCAAACTGAACCAGCCGAGTATTGCAATTACCCCTAGTTATAGATAAAGAGGATTGATCCGTTGATTTTTTTTAATGTTATTATTAGACAACCCATTAAATTTTCCTTCAGATAAATGATAATTATGTTTCATTTCTTTAATAAAAAAAAAAGTTCTTTATATTAAAAAACTGACAACCAGTTTTAGAGTATTATTTTTACAGTTAACATAACACAAAACGCAATAGTAAATTTTTTTTTTTAAAATAAAAAATCAAATTGATTTTTTATTAAATCAAATGCATTTTTTTAATAAACGTGATTGGTTTTTTTTTTTTTGACAAAAAAAATGAAAATCGGTTGTTCTTTATTAAAAAGAAATGAAACCGGAAAGAAACTGAAGTTAGTTTTCTATTAAAAACAATGCTTTTTTTTACTGTAATACTACATAAAAGATGTGTTTTATTATTTCAGCAAAGTAAAAATTGTTTTTTTTAATTGATAATAAAGGTACCTGTATAGAATAACCTTTCTCGGTTCGAATGAGAACGTAACTAACGTAACTTGATCAACGATCAGCTGATTCAGTTCATGTAATAATTATTTGACGCACTGAGTCCGCAAATCCACAATTTAGCAATATTAAAAAAAAACAAAATAATTATTTAAGAAAGCACATATTTCAAATGAATTCTTTGTGTAATTCTAAATTATTAAAATTAATTTACTTCAGATATCCTAGTCGAATAATGCAGATATCCAAATATTATCTGGATAAATTATCCAATTTATCTGGATTGAACGAATAAACTCAAAATTGGATATCCTAATAAATAACTTTATTTTTTATAAAAAATTTTTATTTTATTTTATTTTATTTTGATGAACAAAAAAAAAGAAATACAATATAATAATATAAAATAGAAAAAAAACATATAAAATATAAGATATAAAAATAAGAATAATAAAATAAAAAAATAAATAAAATGAAAAATAAAAAATAGTGAATAAATAAAATAAACCCTAAAACTAATTATAATAACCCTTAGTCTTTAAACAATGAATACTATTAAATTCCATTATTCTAACTCCTTTAGCTTTAATTTGATTCAATAATTTTAATTCCTCATCATTCAATTCTTTATCCAAATTCATCATACCAAAAATTTTTAAACTATTATTGTTGCTTCTTTCAATATAATTTAAAACAATTTTAAGAAATTCTAATTCAATAGTATGATTTAAATTAATCATTTCAAAACTATTATGACAATTTTCTAAAAATTCCTTAAATTTTAAAAACCTATTAGAAGCATAAGGATAAATATAAATAGTAATTTTGCTAACATTAATATTTGCCAAATTTATAAAAAATGTAGTATTAATATTATAAGAAGTAATAATATTTAATTCTAAAAAAATAAGATTTGGACAATACATTGATATATTTTCAATAAAATGATTTGAAAGGTTTTCAATTATTATTAATCTTTGTAATGATGCACCTAGATATTTGATCATTAAAGATGTAACATCAACATTCCATATATTTCTTCTAAATGATAATTCCTTAAGCTTAAACGATAAAAACTCGCATTGATTTAATAATATTCCTTCACAATGATTAAATTTTAAATATTCTAAATTATATAAATTATTAAAACTTTTTAAATTAACATTAATAAAGTTAGTGTTTTTAAATTCAATATGAACTAAAGAATGCTTTTGAAATTCTAAGGATGAAAGAATATTATTTAATAAAGAATAACAATTCCATATCTTAAATATTTTGAGTTTGTTTTGCCCTTGAATAATTTTATAAAGATATTCCCAAGTAATAGTAGTATCATATTTATATGTAGGTTTAACCAATAATCTTCCTGATGTTTGATTAAGATTAATTATTAATCGTCTCAAATTTAAACTAAAATTTGCTATGCATCTTAAAAATTCTTGTTCAATTTCATTATCAATGGCACCATTTAAATAAAAACTTAATGAATTTAATTTTGTTAAATTTGAAATAAAATTTTGAATATTAAAATTTTTAAAACTTTCTTTATACACAACATTTTCTTTTCCGTTTTCGCATAGTTTATACATGTAAAATAAATTTAATGAAATACTTAATTGTTTAATGTTTTTACTTTGACGTAAAATTGATTTATGAAATATTGGAATAATATCATTATATATTTTGTTACAAGAAATTGATAAACCTGAATAATAACTTATAATAGTGGAATCTATTTCAAAGTGATTATAATCTTCCAAATATTTTAGATATTCAAATAAAGGTTTATGTTCTTCATCAATATTAATATTATTAAATTGTTTCTTCAATTGTAAAATTTCTTCTTTATTAAAGCAAAAAATTATGGTTGAAATTATCAGGTGATTTTTTTTGGATATTTTTGTAAAAGGATTTGCATAAAGAAAAGGAATCGTTGTTTTACACCAAAATCGATTAACTAATAAGCAGGTAAATAAAGTTGAACAATCATTTTTAAGGTATTGTAAAATGTAATAAAAACAATCATCTGTTAAATAAAGTAAAGTCATTTTAGAAAGTTAGAAAGTTTTGTACGAGTATCGGAGTAAAAACTAATTATTATAAGCCCAATTTTAGAAGTCACATGATTGTACAATAATGTACATTACTTTTGTAATACTATAGTATAACACGGAGTTTAAACAAGTTGATTGACATTATAGGGAACTTTGGATAAAATTAGTAAAAAATGATGACGTGTGTGACGTATGACGTATTGTACTTATGATGTATTGTACTTGAGTTTTTTTCGGCGTTTCGGTAATTATTAAATAATTTTTAAATAAAGAATTTAGTTAGTTAAATTATATGTAAATATTATATAAATAAATAATAATAGTATTAGCCAATCAAAATATTATATATGTTCTGCCAAGTAGTTTTACCAGTTTTACTTATGGCGAATGGGCTTCTTTAGGTGATTTTAAAAAGTTATATTCTCATTTTTTTTTATTTCTTGTTGATTTTTTTTTCTCGGGATAAATAAATAAATGAAAGATTTTTTCAATAATTTTCTCAAAATATTATATATATAATATCAAAATACAATAAAATGAAGCAAATTAAGTTAACATAAAAAAGTATATTTCTATTTATACTTGAATCTATAATAATTAATTTACAAAAATTAAATAAAAATTAAATCTTATTAATTCTTCATTTACCTTTCTCAACAATAAATAAATTTTATGGTCTTAATAAAATACAAATAATTTTAAGAAATTATACGCAGTATAGCTCCTAACATTATTATTATCTTATCGTGATTAAAATGAATAATATTATTTTTGAAAAATCGGGCATATTGTAATCACCATAAAAAGATGGCAATGACATAATTATAAAGTATTCTCAGTTCCCACCATATTTAAAGTTTACTTGTTTAAATAGTAACTTAATTTTTTTTTTGTTAAATAATCTTATAATAAAGATCTTAATAATTCATAAATAAAAAAAGCTTTATATAAATGTAAAGAATTGTGCTCAAATAAATCTTTCATTGATAATCAATTAAAAATTTCAATATGAAAAATTTTAATGTTTTCTGTAATCGAGGCGAGTCTTAATCTATGACAGGAGAGAAGATGTTTCATTAATTCTCGATCTTATCAAAATAGAATAAAAATGAATTGAATAAAAGAAATGCTAAATACCTCAATTGGATTCAAGTACGCGTATTTCAGATTATTTTTTGATTCTTTTACTTTTCTATTTTTACAAATACAATCTTCTTGTTTACAATTAATGCCAATGGATTTTATTTTAATTTGATTAATTTTTTGTTTTAGAAAATTTGGACCACAATTTCCTTCCATAGAATATAAACTTATAAATTTTGGTTTAGGATTAAATTTGGCAAAATTAACAAAATTTCTCATCTTACTATGTTGAATGGGTAATATTCCATAATTATCAGAATTAGGATAAGATGAAATAATAAGTATATTAAAAGTAAAATCAGGTAGATTTACATAATGCTTTTTTTCTAAACAATAAGAAAATGCATATAATCCAACTTTTCCATTCTTTTTGTTATTAAAAAAATGATGATTAATGGCAAGAGAATTATTTGAAGAATTTAACTTGTTTAATACAGGGATTCCAAAACAAAGGACTGAAGAATCATTATCAATATCTAATGATTTAATGATAGTTTGACTACCTGCTGAAGCATTAAAATATTCTTTTTGGACTTTTAGTTGAATATTAAATTCTGAATCATCAAAATCAAAATTTAGATCATAACCAATAATCATCCAATTAATTCTCAACTCACATTTACGTTTTTTAAATTTTTTTTGAATACAATGAATCGCAAGTTTTGGATCTTCATTTTGTGACCAAGTAATTTGACAGTTAAAAATATCTTTTTCTTTTTTGTCTATAACTGTTGCAAAAATGCTACAATCAGCTTCTTCATTTTGCATAATTTTTAAAATATTTTCTGGTATATTTAACCTAAATACATTTGGCTTCGCATTTTCTAATAAGTAATAAGTATAATCTTCAATATTCGTACAAAAAATTTTTTTCCAACTGATAATAAGATTTGTTTACGTAGATCTTCAGACAAAGGTTGAAAAATACTAACTGAATCCTTAAATTCTATGCAACTCCAATATCTAAAATCTCTTAAAGATTCAACCCATACTTCTTCATCAAAATTATTAATACTGAGCTGTTTTCCTCCAATTAATTTAAAACATTCATGTTTAGAATTATTAACATTCTTGCTTAAATTTTCACTAGTACTTTCTATTCTGATATTTGAAATCTGACCACCTACATTTATATCATACATGTTAGAATTTTCTTTAGAACAATCCTTTGAGATATTTGTACGCTTAAAATAAGCTCTTCCACCCAAAATAATTTCTATTGGAATGAATTGACCATATTCTTCGGTGATTTTCTTAAAGTTTCTAGGATCTTTGGATTCTATAGCTTCTTTTACTTCTTTAACAAATTCTGGAACTGGTTGTAATCTGAATTTTAAAGATACTTTACTATATTCGCTTATGGTACACGTTAAACTAGTTTCAAAATTAGATTTTTCAATTTTAGAACTTCCAAACGATGTTCTTAATTTTGCAAAATCTTGTATGTTGGCACCCGCAGTTAAAAGTAAATCATTTTTTATAATTTGATCTTCCTCTGAATCAACTTCAATCGTACTATGTTTACACCCATCAACAATTTCAGTCATATTACAATCCTCCATTATTGTAAATGCTTTCTTATTTGCCTTTTCTAACATTGAAGTCAATCCATATTCTAATTTAAGTTTTTCTTTTAAAAATTTCCAATCAGGCTCTGATTTTAAATATAATATTTTGTCTTGTTTTTCTATAATTTTTTCTAAAGTTATCTTTTCTTCATCTTCCTTTGCTATTTCAGCAAAAAACATTTCATTATTATCGTTATTATTGATTTGAGTAACTTTATTTGTAAATGATAATGTATCATTCATTTTAACTTTGCTATTTTGTTCAAGTCTTTTACGAATTATTGATAACTTTTCTTTAAGGTTTAAACTGACTAATACATGTTTTAATGGCGGATTATCTATTTGAACCGTTATATGAATATCATTTTCTTGTACATCGTCAGTTTTCGCTTCCATTTAGTACCAGATTAAAAGTATTTATTTGTTAAGTATATTTTCACACGTGAGGTCAAGGGACGATTTTGATGATTTTGCTGATTTTACAGAAAGTAGTGATTCATTTGAAAAATTAGGCTGGTGGGTAAGTTAATAAGTAATTCTTTAACTACTGTGGTACAACGTATAAACAAAAAATTATTTTCCAAATCCATTCACAACTGTGGTACAATGTATAAACAAAAAATTAAATTAAGAAATGGACTCTGCAAATCATTCCAAATCAATCTGGAAATTACCCGTGTAATTTACAAAATATCTTCCTTTATTTATCATAACAAAATATACCCCTACGTAATATATGTATATATCTAATAATTCTAAAACTACTAAATGTAATTTATTAAATTCTAGACTAATAATATAAACTAATTCTATTAAAATATAAATGGTAATTTCTTAAGTCCTAAACTAAAAATGCGATAATTTCCCTTCATTAAGTCTAATCTATAAATCATTAATTAAAATAATTAATGAGGCGCTTTTGCATCAGCAAAAAGAATCGAAAACAAAATTATATGTGCAATTACATAGAGTCGTCTTTTTTGAATTTTCTAAAAAAAATTCACCCTCTATTTATTATATTTTCATGACTCCTCTCTGATAGATAATTCTCCTAATTTAAATTCGCCAAATAAAATAATCTTAAACCAATAAAAATAAAAGTGAACACAAGAATAGTTCTACGTCAATATACGGACGTAACTAAATAGTTTAACGTCGGTTGCGGACGTAACACAACTAAAATACTTTAAAATTTATACACCTAAACTAAATGTAATACTGCGCCCACAATTAATAAATTCACTAGATAATTCCAGTATTATAGTGTAGTTATTTCTCAACGCACCAACAATTCATCTCTATTTGCTCATGTAACAACTGATCCTGATACCACCGTTCACCTCTGATCACCCAGTTTTTTTCCTATGGAACTATCAAATTTTCTATAATTATATTGGCAAACAATGTATACGCCAAAATTTTTCTAGAACTTATCAAATCTTTTCTCCAAGAATTATCTATTGCTGCTTGATCCCAGCGACAGGCTTCCTTCAAAATTGTATCATACTTTATTCAATTCTATTCAATAATTCTAATCGGAAAACAACCAAACTAATCAAGAAACACAGGGAAGAGGGACCTTCCGCGTGACTCCACCGTACTCGAATTCTTCGTCGACATTTGACGTTCGTGCACATATTAGATGGACTTCGTCCAATTTTTTACATTCGGGTCATTGGTACTCAGAGATTTTCTATTATTTGATGATATTAATATTTTAGACATTTTTAATTCTACTTTTTCTTAATTTTACTCTTTACTTTTATAGATTAGATTTATTTTTACTTCTCTTTCTTTTTCTTTTTTTACTCTAGTGCGTGCGGTGAGATTTATTAGCTATTTCTTTCTACACCTGAGTGAAGTTGCCTGAGGCGCTTAATTTTTTCAGTTTTCTTTTTTGTACTACTTTTGATTCAATTTGTGAGATCTAAAAATAAATAAGATTTTTTTGGGTGTAGTAAATTAGCCTTTAATTGAACCTCTTTTTAATATTTGACAAAGTCCGGTTATGCCTAATTATTTTTGGAAAATAATAGGCAGGACGACTCCCAATTGGTGGGGTTAGGTAGTGACGGATTAGCAGCTATTTGTATATTAAAAATAAAATAAAATAATTTTTCCTTTGATTATTTGTCACTAGTATGGTTTAACCTGTCACACATTTCAGACGTGCCTAATTATGTAAAAATCTTGTTTCTTCCTATTTGCTAAAAATTTTCGTTGCCGTATGCTTTCTTCCATTACTATAATTAAAATATAAATATTATTAATTGTGAATTTCATTTTGTAAAAACAGAATTATAATAAAAATCACTACAAAACTCATTAAAGTTTTATTGAAAATCGTATACTTATTATTAAAATAAATTCACCTTACCAATTACCAGCCACTTCCACTTAATTATTAATCGTAATAGCGTCCAATAATATAATGTAAATCAGATAAGTTTCACATATTATTATAGAATTTTTAATAAATAATAAATTTTAGCAATCTAATAAAAATATTTCCTTCACTAACGAATTAGCAAGTTTGATTGTTCTTTAGCTGAGGACATTTACGGTTGGACTCTCTTCATGAAGTTTGTCTGTCCGCACGCGTAATCCTCCCAATGAAGTTTCTTGTTGTTTTAATTTCTTTTTTTGTACGTCGCTATTTACGCATTTTGTGATACTTTTCTTTTTCTGTAATACGTTTCAAATTTTTATTTTTGTGTTGCTTTCGATACCGCTTTGGACTCTCTAACGGTTTCCGTTTTCCTAGTATAATTACTGAATAGCAAAGGCACTACACTAAGAGTCACACAAACAACCACACTAACTAGAAGCAATAAACCGGTATTTGTATAATTATTTAAAATATTTTTTTTCTATAATATCCATAACATATGATGATAATGTTTCTTTTTAAATGATGAAAATAATGAACTCCTAAATATTTCAAATTGCTTCTGCACGAGTACTATGCATAAATAACTTATAATAAATTATTATTTCGGGTTAATCATAATGGTTATAATTACTATAATTGCAATACAGTTTAAATTTTTTTCGCATATTGCGGAAAAATTGATATTGATTCTATAAATAATAAATAAGAGCGAGGAGGAAAAGACGTTCACAAATGAAAAATCAAAATATATAAAAAATCTAGAATCATGCAATTAAAATATTTAAAGCGAAATCTTTAAGACTAATTTGGAAGCTTTAGTTGAAAATCGACAAGATAAATCCAACGTAAAATGTGACGTAAAACGTTATAAAAACAATCTCATTACGGTGAACTGTAAATACAGAAAATATTTTTTATACAACCCATTCAAGAATAAATATTGGTAACGAATCTTAGGTCGTTCCACTATTGCCATTATCGTTTTTTTTATGGTTATTTTAAAAAATATGTAGCTACAGTATATCGGGTCAACTAACGTAGCATATTCTCATTCAATCATTAAGATTCTTGAGCCATTCATTATTCTTAATAATACTGATTGCTTTTTTCATTCTTCCAAAAGGGAAAGACTTAAACAAATGAAGATAATCTAAATAATGCAAAGGAATCAATTTTTATTGAAAAAATGAATCGATTCATTCAATACTTTAGCAGATTTTTGACATCACGTACGTAATTATAACATAGTTTATAAGAGTTAAAGTTTTATCCGATGTTGTGTAACATATCCATATATATAGTTTAAGAAGTTTTATATAAAACTTGCGCATTTTTTACACATCTATAACTTTGAATTCTTCTCGCTCTCCAAATTTTTTGCGAATATGTTTTAAATATTTGTCTCTTTAATATCATGCCTTCTTTTTTCCAAAAAAAAAGAGAAGAAAAATCACATTTCTTCATATTATACATATCAAATTTACGTTAAATATTAAAAGTTTCAGATCTTTTAATTCTAATTTTAAAGCACGCCTGTCATTTGAAAAGGTACATGAAATACTAACCCAACAAAAAGTAGGAGATGAAATTATGAAATTACGAAAGAACGGCAGGTCTTTATGCAACAATATCTAAAAATAATTCATATTATTTAATAGATTATTTACAAGATCGTGCGTCACGTTTACTCTTCCCCTTCCGTTCTTCCTTAATTAAAATAGTGGATACTAATTACACGAATTATATATTTACTAATTTTAAAAAGGAAAATTATGATTATGATTTATGATTATTACAATCATTACTATGATCAGCTGCTCGTGTTAAAATGTGGCGTGGATGTCATATATTAATACGAAACATTCGGGAAAATTACCGATTGATGTTGTCTTCTTATTTGTAAATATTACCAATAAAAATAAAAATATCTTTAATAATACATACGGTATAAACGCATAATATACACTAACCTCATTTGGATTAGATCAAACTGAAAAGCTGTCTGCCTATTTTGTAAAGTAATCGTCATACAGGCGTTCTTTAGATTTATTTACGCTTATAAAAATTTTTTTGATCAAGTTTATTGTATGTGCCATATAGTCAATAAAAACTTATAATGAATCGGGATAAACGAGAATGGTTTGATATTTGAATTCACTTATATTACTGACTATTTTTAATTTTCGATCTCTTGCTTTTATGATTCCAATATTTTAAGAAAAATCTAGTAATTTAATTGAACAAAAAAGTCTAATCATTTTCAATTTTGTCTAAGAGTACAGTCAGACCTCGATATACCGATATTCGATATCTCGATATATATTAAAAACTCGATATAATGACTTTTTCACTATATGAGAAAACTTATAAATATCGGTATAATTTGACATAATGACATTTTTCAAAGATTTTTCATATGGATCCCAACATATCGTAATATCGGAGTTTGACGGTAGTCCCTACAGAAGAAAAACATATGATTATTTTTTATTCTTTTTATTAAAAACATAAACTCACTATAATGTTTTCAAAAAGAACTAATTTTTTTTAAAAAAAGTATTTAAGTATTTTATTAGAAATTAACGCTAAATTTAATAACTGGAACTCAAAAATTTTTTCGCATGTAGTGCAAATAACTATCCTTTATAAGCTTAGAATGGAAAATATCTCGCATTTTAAAGCAAGCCTTTCATTCGAAATAAGTACGTGAATCACAAGCCCAATATTTGAGGCGATGATTAATGAAAATCACGAAAGAATGGTGGGTTTTTATGCAACAATACCAGAAACAAAGTCGTCTGAAATTATAATATTTCGTTCATAGATCATTTACGAGATCATGTGTTACGCTTACTCTTTCCCATAATCTTCTTAATTCTCTTTCCGTTGTCCTTCCTCCTTTCCCTAATTAAATTACCGAATATAAAGACAAATTAGTAGTTCAGTATGATATTTGAATTACTCGAATCGTGTACTCATTTGAAACGTTTTAATTTTTAAATTCAAAACAATTAAAATTATATGTTAAAACATTTTATTATATAATGTAAATAAAATATATAAAATACTGTATTACATGTATAATATTATAATATATACTATCATTTATTCAAAGTAAACTATGGAAGGTTGAGAATTCTTATAATTTTTGAGCATGTTGTTTAAATTCTTCTATACTAATCCCATTTTGATAAAGATCATGAGCGGGAAATACAAAATTTACTTCACTTTCCATTTCAACGACCTTCTTTATAGAATTTTTAGATTCTGATACACTAAAAGAGGTTATTGGTATACTAATGTTATTTTTCGCAGAAAATATAGGAATCTGGATCAGAGGAAAGTTAAAAACCAAATCCCCAATTAAAATAATATTCGTTGGAACATGTAAATACGAAAGTGAACCTTTTCAAACCAAAGAAAAAAAAAGAAAAAAAAAGATAAATAATTTAGTTTAATTAAATTTAATTTTTTGAAAATAAATAATTTCTACTTTACCAGGTGTATGTCCAACAGTAAAAATTGGTCTCAAGTCATTATGAAATTCAAATTCATCTTCTCTACCCTCTTTAATAGCAATGACCCTATCTTCATTGCCTATAGCTTTTCCTTCAGCAAAAAAATGTTTCAATAATTGATAAGTTAAGGTATCCCCAGTAATTTCACTATATTTTTTCCCATGAACGACAAAAGGAATTTCATTTTCTCCCATAACTATTTTAATATCTTTATAATCATTTAATAATTTTAATAAAACTCCCGTATGATCAAAATGACCATGAGTTAATACTACATACTTTAATTTATATTCAGGAAATGATTCAAAATGTGATGAAATCGCATTTGTTATTTTAGTTACATTATCTGGGTCCCCACCATCAACTAAAATACAATCCTTTGTAGTAGGTATATGAACTAAAAATATTGATGTTGGATAAGTACTTCCATATAATTTTAAAGAAAATCTTGCACGATAAACATTTTGTTGAATTTCAACGAATTTTTCATAATCAGGAAGAGATGTTAATGAAGACATTCTGAATTTTGAAACGGTGAACTAAAAAAAAGAGTCAGATGATGTACATTAATTTATTATCAGCCAATTCTTTGTGAGACTACTATTTAAAGGAATTTTATACAAAGATTATCAAAATTTGTGATTATGACATAATTTCATCATTACATCATTACTGCGGGTGCAAATGAACGTCACTGATTATGTAACACAAAATATTTCCGAAATGTGATATATATTATTTTATCTATACCAAAAAAAATCATTAATCTCATTTATTAATAGTATATTTTTGTCTATCTTCTGAAAAAAAAAAATAACGCATTAATGTTTTTGCACTTCATGCCAAGAAAAGAACATTTTTGTATATCTCGACCAAAAATTACCTCCTCGTGCTATTTTCTTGACCCGAATCACCCAACATGATTATGTATGACAAAATATTTTTTTCTCTGACTGAAATGTGATAAAGAATTAGTGATAAATTAAATACAATATTAGTGGCGCTTGGATTATCGAGTTTGTAGTTTATTTGTAATTGAATGTTCGAATATCAATATTCATTCACCCGTATTTGTCCGTTTTTTGTCCAGGTTTCGGTTTCTTTTTTTTCATTCAAATATAACTGCGTACACCGTATTGAAAAATATTTGGTACAAACTTTATTAAATTTATTAAATTTTATTAAGGGCAACATTATTCTTTAAACATAATAACAGAGTTTACTTTCTTCTTGTCTATTATCAGTACTTGAGAAACTCATAGAAGTACCGGACGCAGTTATATTATTATGAGATGTAGCAGATGAACTAGAATTAAGATAATATACGGTGTGTAAGAGAGTATGGGTAGGTTCCTGAATGATCAGGTAGATAATCATTTAGTATAATATTATTCCCTGATTGCCATGGTGATGACCAACTTTCTATTACATTTCCAATTCCGCTACATTTCATATTGACAAGAATTTCCACCCAGCACAATACATAAGTATTCAAAATAATTTATCTTTTTACTACTGCTTCAATCTGTTTAGCTAATTCCTCGCCTTTTCTGTTAATTTAACAATGCCATCTATCTATCCTGTATTCCTGATACGTCAGTAATAGTTATGTAATTCGACTAGTTAATTTTATTGAATGGTAAACAAAAATTGGTCAAATAAATTCAACAGCTCTCTCATCACCTCTAATTGAGATAATCCCTTCTTTTATTTGACTAGCAAAGGATGGTTTATAATAATATTCTGCAACTTGACCAAACAGAACATTTACAATATTATATTAAAATTGGTAGAGCCTATAACGTAACAATGTTTGTACTGCGGGTTTATACTCAGATCAGCTGATCATGTTGTGTCATTAAAATGTGTGCAATGTTGCAGTTTCATTTGTGTAATTAAAACATAATATTAGTGATTTGGCGATTGCCGATCATCCGAACGTGGAAATGACTGCGGCTGCATTTCATGAATGACTATTCTGTAAAGACTGTCTAAAAGATTATTTAAAACTTTTTACAGTTTTGAACGTATCATATAAAGATAGGAATTAGAAAGTATTAACGTTAAATATAAACTTTAGAAAATCTAAAATCATATTCCAATATACTGTATATATGCAGGACAGGCTTAAATAGGTCAATCATGCAAAAGGCGAAACTTTGTACTACAGAATATATAATATAACTTAAAAATTTACCAGTTTTAGCAAATTCAATTTTTCAATAATGACTATATTAGAAGAAATAAAAATAGCAGCAGAAAATGGAGATAAATATGCACAATATAATTTAGGATTATGTTATGAAAATGGGGTTGGTACTGAAAAAGATGTATATAATGCTTTTTATTTGTATAAGAAAGCGGCAGAAAATAATAATACTAAAGCACAATATAACTTAGGATTATGTTATGAAAATGGAATTGGCACTGAAAAAGATGGGAATAAAGCTTTTTATTGGTATAAAAAAGCAGTTGATAATGAAAGTATATTTGCACAATATAACTTAGGATTATGTTATGAAAATGGGATTGGCACTGAAAAAGATGAGAATAAAGCTTTTAATTGGTATAAAAAAGCAGTAGAAAATGGAACCATTTCCGCACAATATAACTTAGGATTATGTTATGAAAATGGGGTTGGTACTGAAAAAGATATATATAATGCTTTTTATTGGTATAAGAAAGCAGCAGAAAATAATAATACTAAAGCACAATATAACTTAGGGTTATGTTATGAAAATGGGATTGGCACTGAAAAAGATGGGAATAAAGCTTTTTATTGGTATAAAAAAGCAGTTGAGAATGAAAGCATATTTGCACAAAATAATTTAGGATTATGTTATGAAAATGGAATTGGCACTGAAAAAGATGAAAATAAAGCCTTTTATTGGTACCAAAAAGCAGGTGGACAAGACACATCTGCGCAATATAATTTAGGATTATGCTATGAAAATGGGGTTGGTACTGAAAAAGATGTATATAATGCTTTTTATTGGTATAAGAAAGCGGCAAAAAATAATAATACTAAAGCGCAATATAACTTAGGATTATGTTATGAAAATGGAATTGGCACTGAAAAAGATGAGAATAGAGCTTTTTATTGGTATAAAAAAGCAGTAAAAAATGGAACCATTTCCGCACAATATAATTTAGGATTATGCTATGAAAATGGGGTTGGTACTGAAAAAGATGTATATAATGCTTTTTATTTATATAAGAAAGCAGCAGAAACTAATAATACTAAAGCACAATATAACTTAGGATTATGTTATGAAAATGGAATTGGCACTGAAAAAGATGAGAATAAAGCTTTTTATTGGTATAAAAAAGCAGTTGAGAATGAAAGTATATTTGCACAATATAACTTAGGATTATGTTATGAAAATGGGATTGGCACTGAAAAAGATAAGAATAAAGCTTTTTATTGGTATCAAAAGGCGGCGGAAAATAAAAATAATAAAGCCCAATATAATCTAGGAGTATGTTATAGAAATGGTATTGGCATTAAAAAGGATGAAGGTAAAGCTTCTTATTGGTATAAAATTGCAGCACTAAATAATAATACAGATGCACAATATAATTTAGGGTCATGTTATGAAAATGGAATAGGTATTGAAAAAGATAAAGCTAAAGCTTTTTATTGGTACAAAAAAGCAGCAGAAGGTGGAAATAAATTAGCACAATATAATCTAGGATTATATTGTGAAAGTGGAATTGGTACCGAAAAAGATAAAGCTGAAGCTTTTTGTTGGTATAAAAAAGCAGCTGAAAATGAAAATATATTTGCACAATATAAACTAGGACTATGTTATGAAAATGAAATTGGTACTGAAAAGGATAATAATAAAGCTTTTTATTGGTATAAAAAAGCAGTTGATAATGAAAATATATCTGCACAATATAAATTAGGACTATGTTATGAAAAGGGAATTGGTATTGAAAAAGATGAGGATAGGGCTTTTTACTGGTATCTAAAAGCAGCTGAAAATGAAAATGTATCTGCACAGTATAATTTAGGATTATGTTATGAAAATGGAATTGGTACTGAAAAAGATGATGTAAAAGCATCTTACTGGTATGAAAAAGCATTAGCAAATAAAAATAAGGGTGTGGAAAAAATTGATATTGAAACATTTGAATTGACTATCAAAAATGCTTTTAAATGTGATAAAGTTAATTTTATACCTTACAATGAATTAGAAAGTGTAAAATCTCTTAACAAAGGAGGATTTGGGCATATTATGAGGGCAATCTGGACTAAAACAAATAATTATGTCATTTGTAAAAAATTGATTAAGACAAGTGATATAAAATATGATTTATTTGATGGATTTATTCATGAATTAAAAATGCATTTGCGACTTGATTATTATAATGATAGAATTATACGTTGCCTAGGCGTTACCTTTGGTAATTTATTTTATTTATTTCTTATTTTAATATTAGTAATTTTTTAATATTCAGTTATTACAATAAATTTTCTTTAGATCAAAAAACGAATGAATATCTTCTTATAATGCAATATGCTAATGGTGGAGACCTTCAAAATTACCTTAAAGAAAATTTTAAAAAATTGACTTGGGATAATAAGAAGAAATTAGCACTTCAGATCGCAGATGGATTAAATTACTTGCATAACGAAGATGTATTACACAGGGATCTTGTAAGTGTAATTTATAATTGATAGATGCAATATTAACTAGTAGTAATATAAATGACATTTACTTTATTTTTAGCATTCTAAGAATATTGTTATTCATGATGGTAATGCTAAAATAACAGATTTTGGTATTTCAAAAATTCAAAATAATCAACAATCAACAATTCATTTTGGTAATATTGGTATTATTGCTTATATGGAGCCAAAACGTATTCTTGATCAAAGTTTTCCATACACCAAATCATCAGATATTTATAGTTTTGGTGTATTGATGTGGGAAATCTCAAGTGGGTATCCACCATTTAAAGATTGTGAAAATATAATTACACTTGGTCTTGCTATTAATCGTGGTGCTCGTGAAACTGCAATTCCTGAGACTCCTATAGAATATGAAGAACTTTATAAAAAATGTTGGGGGCAAGAACCTGAACAAAGACCAGCTATTAGTGAAGTATTGAATGAATTTAAAAGAATGAATGTTGGTATTGAATTAATGAAAGGTAAATTATTTAGTGTATATATACAGTATATACGTTGTGATATACTAATTTATGCATCTGAATGATAATTCAGTGTCACAAAATGATGAAACACCAAAAGTACTACAAGATGATGACGAATTATTTAGTAAGTCAATATAATTCTTTCTCTAATTAAATTTTAGTAAAATCCATTGCTTAAATATTAATTTAAATAATTATTTGATATATAGTTTCGAGTGTTTGATAAAAGGTAATAATTGCAATTTTGAATTTGCTAACAAAATTCATGAATTATTAGATAAAACTTTAATAACGGCTATATTTAATTAAGGTTTCATTGTCATGAAGAATTAAAATAAAGCTATTTTTATAATATACTATGTTTATTATTTTTAAAATGACTTTAGCAACAAAATGTAAAAATAAATAAAATTATAATATTGAATATTCTTTTCAAATTAAAAAGCTTTTGATTTAAACTAAATAATACCATTACGAGAATGAAAATTAATATAAATTTATGAATGTTTACTGATAATGCTGAAATTATAATGGTGTTGTTAGCTGAATAATTAAAATTACTAAATTTATTTACAATTTAAATTAAAGTAAGTGATTCTTTAAATATAATATATAATTCTTACCATTTATTGTTTCTTATAAGTATTTGAACCTATACTAGTACATTATCAGAAACTGTGCACAAATTTGAATAAGTGTAGAGATGCATATGGAATATAGATATATCTTTCATTTATTAATGATATTTAATTACTATATAAAAATAGCCTTATTAATGAATTTGACAAAATAGATTCGTTTAAATTTATTTTTTTAAAATAAACCACGACAAACGATCATAAAATATTCACCGATAATAAAATGCAAGCCATTTACTTACATAAATAAATTCAAGTTGCAATTGAGAAATTCACATAATTTCCAATATTTTAACTACTAAAAAGATCTCTCTCAGTCTATATTAAAAATATTTCAGTCGAGTATATAATTTCTTATTATTTGTTATTTGCTATGAATGTTTTGATTCGCTCAAGTTTGCTGTATTTACGGATTTACGGTAGGTGAAGTAATATCTTGTAAAGTTGAGCTGCTAACTGACTAAATATCAATAATGTAATTGAGGTTTATTGTTCATAAATCATCACTCTATATTTTTGGCCGTGGTAATTTTGGTATAAATCATAAAATTCATGATAAATAATAAACGATACAAACGATACAAACGTCTTTAAAATTATGAAAATGGCACGTGATACATCTATCGAGCTTATACATGATTAATTTAATAGAGTAGAATTTTAGAGTTATAATGAAAAATCTTATACTTTTCAAATTTTCAAATTTCGGCCTTTGAAAGCGATCCCTTTACAATGATAAAAAAAAGTTGAAGTAAAAAAAAGAAATATAAAAGATTTATGGTCAAAATAAAATCTATTTGATGAAGGATAAAAAGAATTTGTATTTAAAAATGTTTAGATATATTGTAGTATTCGAAATTATTTAAAAGATAATTTTTCAAATTGGACATCCGAAAATGATGATCTTGATAATTTAACACAAAAATATCAAATGGAATTCACTTGAACCGGAAGAAAATAATTGAATGGATTTCATTTAATAATTTATTATTTAACGAAAGGGGAATTTTTGGAAATTTATTCAGCAAGATTAGGATTGATGATTATTACAATGAATGGAATTCTAAAAAAAGACAAATAAAAAAAATTTGGAAAGTAATAAGTAATGCTTAAAAGATTAGTAAATCATAATCGGTTTGGAGAGGTATGTAATCTAAATAACTTAGTAGTCGAGTTACTTTTTATCTAATTAATATTTACACCCATTTTTTTTTACAGTCAAATCATATTAGCAGTAATATACAGATATTGTCCCCTATTATGGAATGAAGATTACATGCTTGTAATGATCGTAATGACGTAATGTACGTAAATTTAAAAGAATATTTACTAATAAATCATAATCAACTTATATGAAAAGAAAGAATCCAAATTATTATTTTTGATATAATTTTTGCACTCTCAAAATTCATGATGAAAATTCAATTCAATTTACATTCTAGAAATATATCATTTATATAACTTGATCCGAGATTCTTGGATTTTGTGGTCTTTTAAATAAAAATCATCAAAAAGCGATATGGAAATCTTCATTATATAGCACCTACTCCTAAATCTGAAATTTATAGTATAGCAATGATTATGTGGAAAATTTCCTTTGGTCAACCACCATTTATTGATCATGAACATGATCAATTACTTTGCAATGAATACAATTAATGGTATAAGGCTAATAATAGTACCAGTACCAGAAACTCCTTTAAAGCATAACATTGCTGGGATGCTGATCCATCGAAAAGCCTGGTATTTATTTATACACTCAAGAAACATAACGAAAGAAATTAACCTATCATAGCAAAATGGAGAAGTAAAAATAAATAGGACAAATGATTTATTAGAATCAAATTTCACTATCGGCAAAAGTAAAATTCATAATTCTGAAAATTTTTCTGAACCAAGAAAATGTAACAGAAGGTTAAAGGTATTATTTATATATTATCTAGTTAATTATAAAATTTATTTACAAAATAGATCATTAATTATACCTTTATTTTAACAAAAGAACTTGAAGGTATATATAAATTGTTTATAATTATCCATTTAATATTTACGTTATAATTTTTATTTATATTTAAAGTAATGAGTTATTAATTGACTTTTTTGACAATTTTGAGAGAAACAGCAATATAACATAACTTTATTTTGCATAATGGAAATTTGTCTGAGTCTCCATACAAATAATTTGAATTGTGTAATATGAAAATCGTTGCGCCTGATCTATTCCTTATTTATTTGTTATTATTACACTAAATTGTTAGGTACCACACATAATGTAATTTATGATGTAATAATTTCTTTCCATTTTTCCATTACCCATATATTTTTATTCAAACCTATTTGCGATCATTAAAACTTTTTAAAAAAAAAGTAATTATAATTCTACAGAAATTCTTCTCTTTATACGACTTTTTTTAGTAGAAATAATAAGTTGGATGATTTCTTAATCTTTCATGTTCATTATTCACCATGTTGTTTATTTAAAATAAATTCAATTGAAAATAACCAAAGAAAATTGACCTTTCATTAATCATGTTTATATTGATTTTTAAGTAATATTTAAAAAATTACTACAAATTAATAGTCTATTGAATAACGATCATTGATTTTACCAAATTATTTGAATATTAATCAATATAATCAAGGAATATTATTTATTCATTAAGTATGACAATCAAATTTGTTAAATTGTATTCGCTGAAAAAATGAAAAAAAAAAATAAAATAAAATTATAAAGTACGATAATATTTTTCTTTTTTTGGAAATAAGGCGTAAAATACTTCACAAAATTTATGTGGGCACAACATGAAGTTTGATCAACAATTTGCATTTACTAATTTATCTCGGAGTAACCGAACTTGAAACATAATTCTTTCTATTCCTTTTAATTTATTAATTACATTATGTCCACTCTTCGATATGAATTAATTTATGCGACAGTTAATAGAGCAACAACATTAACAGATACTAATATTTACAATGATATACACAAACAATTTGAATTTCAAAAACAAACAGTCCTTGCTGATAAAATTCTTACCAATGATGAAAAAACTGAAGCGATAAGAGATTTAACTAAAAATTATGATCGAGATAAAGTTATATTTAATAATGGTACAAGAAGAATTTGTGAAAATTGTAACCAAGAATGTTTAGCCACATTATATTGTGAATATTGTGTCCGAAATTATTTAAAAGAAAATTTTTCAAATTGGACATCCGGAAATGATGATATTGATAATTTAATACAGAAATGTCAATTGGAAACAACTAGACCAAATGTAATAGTTGAATGGATACCATATAGTAATTTAGAAAATATTAAATATTTAACAAAAGGTGGATTCTCAGAAATTTATACAGCAGATTGGATTAATGGAGAGTATGATGAATGGGATTCTGAAAAAAAACAATTAAAAAGAATTGAAAGACCTGGAATACAAAACATAAGGATGAAAGTAGTACTTAAAACGTTAGAAAATGTCGAAAGTGCAAATAAAAGTTGGTTTGAAGAGGTTTGTATTATTGTATTCTATATTTATAAAATTGTTGTAATTTTTTGTATTAGCACTAGTATTTTTACAAATTATTATATTTTAGGCTAAATCACATTTAACTATAAGTAATAAATGGGCGGATGTTGTTCGATGTTTTGGTTTAACACAAAATCCATCAAATGGAAATTATATGCTTGCAATGATGAAATTTGATATAGATTTAAGAACATATTTACAACAAAATCATAAACAACTTACATGGAAAAAGAGAATTAATATTGCTTATGAAATAATTCGTGCACTTTATTTCATTCATTATGTGAAAGCAATTCATAGAGATTTACATTCTGGAAATATATTATACTCACAATTTAATGATCGTTGGTGTATCAGTGATCTTGGATTTTGTGGACCTGCTGATAAATCTTCAACAAGTATATATGGAAATCTTCCTTACATAGCACCCGAAGTTATTGTTGGAAGAGAATATACTTTTGCATCTGATATTTATAGTATTGCAATTCTTATGTGGGAAATTTCATCTGGACAAACACTATTTATAAATTATGAACATGAAAATGATATTGTAATGAATATTATTAACGGTATAAGACCAAAAATTGTGCCAGGAACTCCATTAGAATATAAAAATTTAATGAAAGAATGTTGGGATGCTGATCCATTAAAAAGACCTGACGCTTATACACTTGGGGAAAGAATGAAAAGATTTAATTTAGATTATCAAAATATGACAGATGAATCATTCAAATCAGAAATAGTAGATAATTTAGAAATGAATAAAGCAGAAGAAAATTATACGAGTAGCAGATTATTCACAAGTAAAATTCACAACTTTGAAAATCTACCTGAACCAAGAAATGCAACAGAAGGTATAAGTGTATAATATTTTATTAATGAATGTATTTATTTATTATTAATGTTATCTTTTTATTATAATAGAAGAACAAGGTATAACCGTATAAATAATAATTTCTACCATTTTTTGATGACTATAATAATTTAGTTTTTAAAATAAATACTTTATTTTACTACTAATAGGGTTTCATAGTAAATTGTATGATTTTAACATTCCAAACAACAGTAAGTAATTATTAATATTACATCGTTGAATTATTACATAATGATGTTTAATAATTGATATTTATTTTAGTTAATGATTTTAATAAATCAAATAAGCGAGATAGCAAATCATCTAAAGTAATTACTATTTTTAGAGGTAATATATTTTAATTATTGCCAAATCGAGATTGATTTATATATTAAATCTGTATCTTAATTTTTAGATAGTAATAAAAAATTATCTAAATTATTTAAAAAGTTGCAAATAAAGTCAAAAAGTAAGTAAATTACTAACGAATAAAATTACTATATTAATTTCATTTATTTAACGCGACTTTTATTTAAAAATTAGATGATGAAAAGGAAATAACTCAACAACATGTCGATGGTAGGTGAAAATTTTACGTAATAGCCAACAATTTTTATACTATTTTAAGTATGTTTATTTTCTTATAGATGATGACGATGTATATAATAATCCAAATCTTCATTCGAAAGAACAGGATGAACTTGAAATTCCTGATGGTAGGTTCTTAAGTAAATAAGATTTCTTTTTAAAGCAAATAATTAATTTATAATTTGTTATTTTTTTTATCTTTAGATGGATTTTGAATAATCATTTAACAATGTTTTTTTTTATATTTTTAAATTATAATTTATTTATTTATTTATTTTATTTTGGATTATTTAAACACTAAGACTAGAGTAGTAAATGTTTTACAAAATTCTTAGTTTGTAATTTAAATAATTTTAATAAAATTTATTCAAATTATTAAATGTATAAATACTGAACGTAAATTTATTTAGACGAAATTAAGTATCTTAACGTAAATTTATGTCATAAACATTATAAAATCATGACAGATCACAGATTATTCCATTCGTTATACATGAATTTATTAAAACAAGTTGAAGGAATAATCTTTAACATCATAAAAGCATGACAAGAAGCAACGTAAATATTGTGTACACGTTATATGTTAAAAAATTTATTTTATTTATGATAAATCGTTTAGATTGTTAAATTTTTTACAATAACATCTTGGTTAAACTTATAAATATTGATTTAACGTAAAATCAATATTTATAAGATAGTTAATATCAAATAAAATAAAATTATGATCCTTAATTATTGATGGTATGCCAAAACAATTCACTTAACAAACTTAACAAGTAACGAAACATTTTTTTATGAAAATCACAATAATCCTGATATTTGATCATGCAAATGATAAAGAATTTTTTCAAAAACATTTAGATACCGAAAAATTATCTTCAACACTATTAAAGATTAGAATAGTAAGATTTCATATATAAAATTTCTTAGCTTATAATTTGTTATCTGATAAATTTTTAAGTTTATTATTTGTAAATATTACAGTATTGTAATAAACTTTTAATGAATTAGTTTAGTTATACTATTTAAATTATTCAAATTTTTTAATGTTGATTTTGATTCTTCTATTATATTAAGAAAAAAAGATTAATATTTCGATGATAGTACAAATTAAATTCACTTTATTAGCTAAAATCGAACGATCTCCAATCTTATTATAAATTATAAAAATTTATTCGCGATATTAGACTTTTTAACTATAATAAAGTTAATTTTAAAAATTAAAATTGTTAATAATAATAATCTTACACATGATAATATACTAGTAAAAAATTAGTTGATAGGAATAAATTGGGAAGATCTTGGCAGAAATCGTTGTACTTGAAAATGCGCAAATAAAAAATTTTTTCAATTCACGAAATCTAATCAAAATTTTTTATTAGCTTTTTAGAAAAAAAAAGTTATCAAATATTATGATTTTAAGTACAGGTTATCTATAAATTAACCCAAAAAAAAAAAAAATAAGACGTAAAAAGTCACAAACCCTTTAACTGCTTAATTAAAGTTGCAAATTAGTTAAATATTTTATCTTTAATTTTTAATGTATCGAAGTTTTTAATTGTTTAAAGTCATATATTCATTGTAGTAAATTCGTAAAAGACTTAATATCATATTTTTATCATACATACTTTTTACTTAACATTGAAGTGAATAATCTCAAATATTTTTATTGTAATATTTAGTAAAAATTATTTTATTTATTAAAGGAAAATTGAGGATTATTAGCTCGACAAATAAAAAAATTATGATAATACATTAGGAATTCACAAATGTATTTTATTTATTTTATTTTATTACTAGAAGAGAAGTACACCCAAAACTAAATTCACAAATGTAAATATGATCCATATTGAAATTTTTTTTTTTTTTTTTTGATAATGTCACGTGATCTTAAATAATTTCCCATAAAAACGTGACCAAGTGAACCTTCCCATAAAACATCCGTAAAATGTTGAACTCTTTGTAAAAATTGAATTGATAAATTTTCTAATTTATATTCTAGAATTTTTTTTACAAAAAGTTACAAATAGACAAAATTCAGTATTTGTTATAGAAAATCTTTCAATTCTAAATTATAATAAATAATTTAATAATTTTGTTTAAATTCACAACATACCTGAGTTAATATCAAAATTTTTGCACGGTTTTATTTTTTTATTATTTTCCAATTTCGTACGTATTTGAACATTTTACATGTAAAGCCTAATGATGCTGTGCTACATAGAGTTTAGGTTTGTTGTAGCATGTGATACACATTTGTTGATCAAAAAGGCGGCGGCGGCGGCACAATCGGTACATAAAACTCCGTTCCGAAACTCTTCTTTCCCACAAAATTAAAAGAATTATTTTGTTATGCCTGTTATACGAGTTTAGCTAATTAATGTGGCAATCAATAGAGCGATTGCATTAATAGATTATAATATTCATAATGATATAGACAAACAATATGAATTTATACGACAAACGGTTCTTGCTGATAAATCTTTTACAAATGATGAAAAGACTTATGCAATAAGAAGAATAAATAAAATTATTGATAAAAATAAAGTTTTAAATATTGGGGGAACAAGAAGAATTTGTGAAAATTGTAACCAAGAATGTTTAGCTATATCATATTGTGAATATTGTGTTCGAAATTATTTAAAATTAAATTTTTTAAATTGGACATCTGGAAATAATGATATTGGTAATTTAATACAAAAATGTCAAATGGAAACAATTTTACCAGAAAAAATAGTTGAGTGGGTTCAATATGATAATTTGAAAAATATTAAATATCTAACAAAAAGGTGGATTCTCGGAAATTTATACAGCAGTTTGGATTGATGGAAGGTATTATGAATGGGATACTATGAAGCAGCAATTAACAAGATTTGGAAATCAAGGAGTAATACTTAAAAGATTAGAAAATTTTGAAAGTGCAGATCAAAGTTGGTTTGAAGAGGTTTGTAACCTAATGAATCAGTAATTTATAATTATCTTATTAGAAATAGATTAACTAATATTTTAGGCAAAATCACATTTTACTATAAGCAATAAACATCCAAATATTGTCAAATGTTATGGATTAACACAGGATCCATCAAATGGAAATTACATGCTTGTAATGAATATAATGGATTTAAATTTAAGAGAATATTTACAGCAAAACTATAATCAACTTACGTGGGAAAGAAAATTTCAATTTGCTTATAACATAATTACTTCACTCAAGCAGATTCATAATGAAAATGCAATCCATAGAGATTTACATTCTGGTAATATATTATTTAAACAAGTCAATCAAAGATTTGCTATTGGTGATCTTGGATTTTGTGGTCCTGCGGACAAATCGTCAAAAAGTATATATGGAAATCTTCCTTATATAGCACCTGAGGTTATTGCTGGAAAAGAATTTACTTTTTAATCCGATATTTACAGTATTGCAATGCTTATGTGGGAAATTTCATCTGGAAAACCACCTTTTAATAATTATGAGCATGATTATTATCTTGCAATGAATATAGTTAATGGTATAAGACCAAGAATAGTATCAGGAACTCCTCTAAAATATGAGAGTTTAATGAAACAATGTTGGGATGCTGATCCATCAAAAAGACCTGATATTAAAACACTTCAGAAAAAAATAAATGAAGTTTATAAAAGATACCTGGATATGCCAAATGAATTAGAAGAAAGTAACAATTTAGAAATAAATAAAACTAATAGCTCAGAAGAAGCAAAAGAAACAAGCAGCACACTATTTACAAGTAGCAAACTTCATAATTTTGAAAATTTTCCTGAGCCAAGAAATGCAACAGAAGGTATATTATTACATATTGATTATTAATTCAAATTACTAATAATTAATATAATATATTTTATTTTTATTTTATTTAAAAACAACAGAACAACAAGAAGGTATAAATTGAACAATTTTTTATACCAATCAATTTACAGGTTGTTGACTATTTTATAAATTTTTAGCATTTCATAGCAAATCTTATGATAATTTTTATATCCCTGATAGCAGTAAGTATTTTATTAAATTCGTGATGAATTTCTTATAATTGAATCCAATGCTTTTTAATTGATTTTAATTTATTTAGTTGAAGATTTTGGCAAGTCTAGTGATCAGGAGAATAACAGCACATCAAATAAAATCAGTATTTTTAAAGGTAATTATTAGTATTTTTTTGCATATTTAAAATAACTATGTAAAATGAATGTTAAATACATATCTTAAAATTTTGTAGTTAATAATGCTGATAGTCAATTATACGAAAAATTTGAGAAACTACAAGTAAAAATGGTGAGTAAAATAATCAAATATAATGTACTAAATTGATCAAAGGCATTTTGTTAAATATGATTTATTTATTTAGATTTTCAAGAAGATAATAATTATAACAATGAAACAATGAAACATCATTCTTATATTGATGGTATGTGAAGTTTAGCATTTGTATAACTGGAGTAATATTACTGACAATAATAATTTTATGTTCTTATTTTACAGATGAAGTACATAATAATCCAAATCTTCATTTGGAAGAACAAAATGAATTAGAAATTCCTGATGGTAAAGAAAATTTTTCTAAATGATGATGATATTTTAGATACTTAAATCTAATTTGTTAAATTTTTTCAATTTTTTTTTAGATATTTAGATACGAGTTATATAAAGTTTTTATGATTGATAAATAAAGTATTCTTCATATTTTTTATTTTTTATCATTTTGAATTATTTTAAACACTAAGACTAGAGTAGTAAGGTATCTTACAAAGCTTCTTAAGTTTGTAATTTTAAATAATTCATTTCATATTTATATTATAAATTATTCAATTATTATATAAATTATTATTATTTAAGTGAAATTGTTTTGATAAACCAAAGTAACGAGAATTAAGCGTAAGTGCGTAACCCGCATCTTTAATAATGATTATAATGTATATCATGAATTATTTGGTATAAAATTACACGATTTACATCGTCAAAAATAATTACAATATTTCATCATCAACACAGATGTAGTATAGACATCAAGTGGTGTCCAAATGGGTCGTAAATGTTTGGTTATTAAACTAAATATATCTGAACGTACTGTATAATCTTTAATCTTTTCTCTATTAAGCCCTTACTTGAATAAAGTTTGAAAGCGTTCTCAAAGAATGGATAAAAATTATCTTTAAGAGTAAAGAGAATAAGATTATCAGTTTCGCCAATTAAGAAACTATATTAAACATTTTCAATGAAATATTATTATCATAAAATTTAACTTTTAACTTTTACAGTCTAATGTAATAATTCGTGAAAAAGAAAATTTCTTAAAAAGAAAAATTTTAAAAAAGAAAAATTTCAAAAATTTTTTTTTTTAATTAATTCATATAACTATAGAGAGATTATTTGATAAGATTATAAGTGCTCTAGAAATTTTCATTCATTTACGATAAAAACGTGATTAACGGTTGTTAGAAAATTTCTAGAAACTTCAGAGATTTTATTCTGATAAAGGTTACGATTGTAAATAATGTATTAACTACTAATCGATCTTAATAGACAATGGTTACAACTATTTATGTAAAAAATGTAAGGCCATTCCAAACTAATAATTAGTTTCCGGTTGAAAAACAAACAACATATAAAAAATTTCGGAAGTTTTCGGTAAAATCGGAAATATTCGGTATCACTCAATTTCAGAAAATAGAGGAGGTGCTTTAAACATATGTGAACATATCTGTTTAAATTATTTTAAAATATTGTATAATAGAGTAGAGGAGGAGGACGTAAAACTAAAAATTAATTTGGATGGCCTAATTTCGAAAAAATCATTATTATTCGAAGTGTACACGTGTCATCGTCACGTGCCTGACATTTTCGAGTACATATTAAAGACAAAAATAACTTACAAGTCCATTAAAATTTTTCCAATACTGTATATAAATTCTTCAATTTTAATTCGGACTTCTTCAATCGTAAATCGCAAAAACAATAGAAAAAAAAGAATAACAAAATTCAGCTTATAAATGATTATTAACAGTTAAGCAGTTATTTCTTATAAATGGGTATCTCTTTACTGACTTCCAGAATTTTTTCTAACCACGCGTGCCAATCTATAGCTTAATTTTGGTTCTTTTTCCGAACCTTCCGACTCGTCTTCAAAAGCTTTTTTGATCATCTTTTTCTAAATCTTCTGACTCATCTTCCGAAGTATGCTTGGATTTTTGATCATCTTTCTTTGAACCTTTGAACTCATCTTCAAAAGTGACCTCAGCTTTTTGACCATCTTTTCCGAACATTCTTCTGACTCAGCTTCTTTTGACTCATCTTCGAAAATAACAACTTTAGCTTTTTTTATAAAAGACACTTGCAAGTACATTTTTTTCATATAATCGGTTAGTTTGGCGTTGTTTGGTAATCACGCTTGCGTTTCTGATCATAATGATGACATATTGTTAATATAGAATTTAACAATAATACAGATATTTAATAACATACTTACTAGGGAGTGAGAAGAAACCTCGCGATTATAACTTCTTTGAATATTATACTGTAACATGCCATTACAGATAATGATGCCGATTTTTCCACACAATACACACTTCAGTCTTGGAAACTCCATTCTACATAAAATAAATGCATTAAAATTCATATCATAAGAGGTAAGTGTATCCACGTTCTTACCTTCCATTTTTTCTGAATTTCCTGAAATAATGCCATTCTCTCTTTGGGAATTCTTTCTGATAATTTTAAAACGAATGAAGAGCATCAGAATATGCGTTCGTAGCGATACGTTTCGTTTTACGATTAAGGTATCGATAAAACTCCAGTGGTTCGAGGTTAAATAAACGCAACATCCATTCAATGTTGGACTTATTTTTATCGGATAACTTGACATATATTGAAAGTGCAAAATAGATATACTTAGTCAATTACTTTTTTAATAAGAATAGAACGCCATCTGAATACGACAAGTCTTACACGATTGGTTATGATAGTAACCTATTGACTAGACTACCATCGCGCTTAACAGTTTGCAAGCTCAGAAGAACTTGTAATATACTGTAAAATGACTTACGTTCGAAAAAGTGTTTAAAAGATCGTTACGCCATAAAGTAGATTAGAAATTTGCCTGAGTATTTATCTCAAAAAAAAAAAAAAGATAACTAGGGTGCAAAAATTACGTCAACGCAGACGCTCATAACAATTTAATTATATTATAAGTGGGCTTTTGCCATGTCAAAACCCGTGTTCGATCACGTGATATACACGTACACACTATAAATAGCCAGACATTATGATTGGCTTATGATCACGTGAACGAACATGACTTTATGGGTTGCAGTCAACTGTGAAAGCATAAAATAAAAAAAGTATGCATACATGTTGAGGTTACCCAATAATTATTCCATGACTGAAAATCCTAAAGTATTTTCGAGCCGCATACAGTTTTATTTATTATAGGGGTAAGTAATTAAGATGTAAGCTTATCTTGCGTAAAGAATAATCTTATTCAAAACCTGATAAAAAGCACAAGGAGTCAAGGATAAAATATAATGAAATAGGGCTAAATAACTTACTGTAGTTACGCAAAGGGGCAAATTATATACAAAGTTGAAACTATCGTGAATGAATAATATCTTTAGTAAAAAAGGCGATTTATTGTTTACAAATATAGCAATAGATCATCTTGTTTACTAAAATGTTACTAAACTACCGATAGTACTACCGATGATCGTCACATATATATATATATTACAGCATTACAGCCATTTTTTCGACGGCGCCCAGGGCAATTATTATTTTTTCGTAATAAACCTTGTTTTACAACTTTTTGATAAACAAACAAATATTATAAAAGCCGGTAAGAAATAATTTTATAACCAAGAAAATATCACATTTTCGTTATATTAATATTTCATAAATATTAAATACTTAAGTCTTATTATTCAAAGTCACTATGAGAGGACGAGGCAATTCTAGTCCAAGAGCAAACTCTCGTGGAGGACACGGTGGTAGCAATTACCATAATCAAAGAGCAAACTCCCGTGGAGGACGTGGTAGCAATCACCATAATCCAAGAGCAAATTTTCGTGGAGGACGTGGGAGAGGACGTGGTGGCGACTATTTCGTAGAAAGACCAAACTTCCGTGATAGACGAGATGGTGGCAATTATGGTGAATCAGAAAGCTTCCGCGATGAACGTGGTGATGGTAATGGAAGATATAATATACCACCAAAACTTAGTATTCCTAAAATCAAAGAATTGCAACAACGAACCACTATTGCGAATTTCAGTTCTTCTAAACTCACATATGGAGGTAGTGATCAATTAGTTTTTATTGTTAATGGAGAACGGATTACAACCGTTTGGAAAAAAATATTGGAAGAAACTCCCTGGTATCAAAAAGATATTAGAATTTTTATTTGTTCAGCACTAGTAACAGCTGATTCTCAGAAAGCCGGAGAATTGGTAACAAAATTAAGTAATCCTAAAAGTGGTCTAGAGAGATTAAGTGAAATCATGAATTTTCCTATGTCATGTGATGCGGGACTTCAACCTGGAGTATTATCTTTTCAATATGTCATATTACCTTTATTGGGACTATTGACCAGAACAGCTATTACTAAATGCACTTTGGAAAAACATGTAGACGAAATTTTTATGGTGGTTTACGAGAAACTCGTAAGTACTATATTATGGACGAATCTAACTAAATTGATAAATTAATATTTTTCACAATTAACATGCCTTTTTTTTAAAAAAAAAATAGGATTATATAAATGTGATGAAAATGTTGGAAACATTGGTTCAACGTAATTCTATCGAAGACTGTAATGTTGATGTAGATACATTATTGTCACATGAACGATATTCATTCATCCCATATTCGTAAGTACTAATTTTTAACTTACACTGTGTTTATATGCAAAACCTGTTGTAATACATTAATTAATTTCCCTGTAAAATGTCAATAGTTTAGGGGTATTTTTCTTGATAATTGTACGATTTCTTGCAGAAATGTTACGTCGAATCAGGGGAGCATCTACTAATGAGACTATGCATAAAATTTTTCAAAATTTGCAAGAATTAAAGGCTAAGTATCGTCGATCAATTGAACAACAATCGTCATTTTCTATTTCAACAGATCCGTTAATTAATAATTCAAGTACCAGAGAATATTTTTTTACGGTATTAGACGATGAAATGGGAAATATTATTGAAATGTTAGTAACTTATGGCTTACCTAATGAATCTTCAAATGATGAAGAAAGACATGATAATGATTTTGGAAAAATTTCAAAAATATCAATTATTCCTACAATGAAAGAAATATTACTTGATCGCCCACCTTATTTACCTTCACTCTCTGACGCACATCACTCTTCACCAATTGGTGCGGCTGGATTACTTGATAGACAATTTCGCCTTTTAAGAGAAGATATGTTAAACCCAATTCGTGGTGGAATATCTAATTTTTTAGCATTACTATCAAGAAATTATTATTTCTCTTTAAATAATAATGGTAGATTATCTAATGAGTTGGAGAATGTACTATATAAAAATAAAGGAAAATTTACGTACGATAAGGGCATGAATCATGATAATGGTGATCTAAACGTATATACAGATATACAATTTGCTGGTGTTGGTTGTGATAGAAAAAATGGTTTGATTTGTACTCTAAAATTTGCTCCATTTAATAACTCAACAAATGCAAAAAGAGGAAGTGGAAATTGGAAAAACAGTAAAAGGTTGTTACCTGGTAATCTCATTGCTCTTTTATTACCAAATCCGAATTCCAAACAAGTACAATCGATTAGTGATAATAATATATCTATGAGTAATTTTGATTTATATTCAACTTATTTCGGTATAATTATGTCAAGAGATGATGAAGTGATGGAAGATGAACGTATTAGAATATATATCAATTTTCATGATCCATCAATTTATTCTATTGCATTGAACGAACTTCGTAATCAAATCAAGGAATATAATTCAAAAAATTCGTACAAAGTAAAAAGTTACATGGTGGAGTCAACTAATATTTATTATGAAGCTTATTGCCATGTTCTTAAAATACTTCAAACTACCAACCCTACTTCTCTTCCTTTTAAACGATATTTAGCTCCTGCTCTCGATCATCATTTGGAGAGCGCTTGTATGAATGTTGAAATCAAACCTCCTAAGTATACTATAGCGCCAGGATTTCAATTTGATTTATCAGTTTTATGTAGTAATAATAAGCAACAGAACTTAAAACTAAATGTTACTAATACAAATACTTACGATGAAGTAGCACAAAAAATAAATGAATACAGTAAATTAGACGAGTCACAAGGTAACAAAAAAATTATCGATATACTACAAAAAGATTTTTATTAATTCTGTCTAAATTTTCAATCATAGCTAAAGCATTAGTATCTGCTTTAACACGAGAAATTGCATTAATTGAAGGTAATGAATATTTTTTTATTTGAAAGATGGAAAAAAAATGAAAATAAGAGGATTAAAATAACAAAAAAAATTTTAATTATTAGGACCTCCTGGTACCGGTAAAACTGTAGTCGGTGTTGAAATAATGAAAGTATTATTGGCTGAAAAAAATCGAATAAATATTTCTGGCCCTATTCTTACAATTTGTTTTACTAATCATGCACTTGATCAATTCTTGGAGGTAAATTGTATTTTCAATAATAAACAATTATTTATATTTAATTTAAGATACTGTATCTAATCATTATATCATTTTTGTGATTAGCACTTACTTGATGATGAGATAACAGAAAAAATAGTGAGATTAGGTTCTCGAACAAAATCTGAAAGGATTAAAAAGTTTACTCTAGGTAAACTTCGCCCCAATAATAGTGGTATCCCTTTACTAACGCAAATATTTGAAGATATTGAAGATATTGAAAATGACGTTGAAGAAATAATAAAGTTAACTAAAAGTCACATAACATGGAAAGATGTATCTGATTATCTAGAAGAAGAAGATAGAAAATTTTTCAATAAATTTAGTAATGTAACTTATAAAGATTTACCTAATTGGGTCTTGGGAACTAATAATGCTACTGAAGAAACTGATGATGAAGATGATGAAGATGAAAATTCTGAAACTGGTGAAAACTTTCAAGATAGTAATGCAGAAATTGATGAAAAAAGTAGTAGTGATGAAGAAACTGAGGAAGAGTTTCAAGAAGTTAAAGGAAAGCAGAAATCAATTTTTGAAAGATGGTTAAGGGCAGAAGATATTAGAAAAATAGACGAGCGAAAAAAATATTGGTCAGATTATGGAGATATAGATTTAGATGATGACGAATTTATTAATGATTATGATGAAATAAAATTTTTAAGAAATTATAATGAACCAAAAACAAATCGTTCTTTATATGAATTATTAAATATTCATTCAATTTGGGAGATGACAATAGAAGAAAGAAAAAAACTTCATGATTGTTGGCGTGCAAAACTTGATGAAGAAAATTTATCATCATTACAAAAAGAGCATGAAGGATGTCGTCAAGAGTTGAATGATATTTATGATGAGGAACGTCGTCAAATATTATTAAATAGTGATGTTATTGGTATGACAACAAGTGGTGCTGCTAAATTACAAAATTTGATTAAATATATTGATCCTAAAATTATTATATGTGAAGAAGCTGGTGAAGTCTTAGAAGCTCACATTCTTAGTGCATTAACTCCTTCTACTCAGCATTTAATATTAATAGGAGATCACAATCAACTTAGACCTCATGTTGCAACTTATTCTCTTAGCATAGAATCACATATAGGAGAGAATTATCAATTAGATAAATCATTATTTGAAAGATTTGTTGATGGCACTAATAATACAATTAAAATTGAGAAAACTAGACTTTTAACTCAGAGACGTATGAGAGGAGAAATTTCTGATTTAATCAGATACACAATTTATGATGATCTAAAAGATGGCGAAAACACTACCGAATATCCAAATGTAAGCGGAGTTCAGCATAATGTATACTTCATTGATCATGATTATCCGGAAGAAGATTGTGGTAGTGATTTGGCAATGCAGTCTCATGTGAATATGTATGAAGTTAAAATGGTGGTAGAAATGGTTAAATATTTCGTAAAATATGGGTATACTAAACCCAAAGACATAGCTGTACTTACTCCTTATTTAGGACAAATGAGTAAAATTAAGGAAGCTTTATCTGAATCATTTATTGTTGACATTGATGAAAGAGATGCACAGAATATTGCTGATATGGAGGAAGAAGAAAGTGATACTTCAAAATCATTAAATCAACGAGTTACACTAAGAACTGTTGATAATTTTCAAGGCGAAGAAGCAAATATAGTTATTATTTCATTAGTTCGTAATTACTCTGATAGTAAATATAATTCTATTGGATTTCTCAAAAGTAAAAATAGAAGTAACGTGTTATTGTCACGTGCTCGGGAAGGGATGTATCTTATTGGTAACTCCAAGTTGATGGCATCAAAATCTGAAGATATGTGGGCTCCTGTTGTTAATATTTTACGTAAGCGTAATCAAATTGGTCCCGGTATGCCAATCGAATGTAAGCATCATCCTGATTGCAAAAACATTGTTAAAGTCCCTGAACAATTTGATGAAGTTTGTTCTCCAACTGGAGGATGCCGTAGTACTTGTGATATACCGCTTTCTTGCGGACATACATGTGCTAATGAATGTCATTTCGATAATCTTGAACATAAAAGAGTTAAGTGTCGTAAACCTTGTAAAAATGAACATTCAAAATGTGGTCATAAATGTTTAAAACTTTGCTACAAAGATTGCGGAAAATGCAATGTACCTGTTGGAGAAATTATATTACCTTGTGGACATATGTTACAAAATGCTGAATGTTGGGAAAGTCAAAATAAGGAAAAAATCCAATGTAATACTATTATTGATACTGTACTACCTGATTGTGGACATCCGTTACAAAATATTGAATGTTGGAGAGTTCAGAATAAAGAAAATTTTACATGTCACATTCCAGTTAATATTACATTACCTAATTGTGGCCATCCATTAAAAGATGTTGAATGTTGGAAAGTTAAAAATGGAGAAGAATTTATTTGTTATTTTCCAACTGATATTATGTTACCTTGTGAACATGTATTACAAAATGTTGGATGTTGGAGAAATAAAGATAAAGAAAGCATCAAATGTAAGTCTTCTATTGATGTTGAATTATCTTGTGGACATATATTAAAAGATATTGAATGTTACAGAGTTCAAAATAAAGAAAAGTTTACATGTAATTTTGCGATTGATATTACGTTACCTTGTGGACATACATTACAAGATGTTAAATGTTGGAAAAGTCAAAATAAAGAAACAATTGAATGTAGCGCTCCTATTGATATTGAACTACCCGGTTGTGGACATATATTACAAAATGTTGAATGTTGGAGAAATAAAGATAAAGAAAACATCAAATGTAAGTCTTCTATTGATGTTGAATTATCTTGTGGACATATATTAAAAGATGTTGAATGTTGGAGAAATAAACATAGACAATTACCTAAGTGTGATGTTTCTACTGATATTGCATTGCCTTGTGGACATATATTACAAAATGTTGAATGTCATAAAAATGAAAATAAAGAAGTAATTGAATGTGATGCCCTTGTTGATATTACATTACCTTGTGGGCACATTGTACAAAATGTTGAATGTTGGAAAAATAAATATAAAGAAAAAATCCAATGTAATACTACTATTGATATAATATTACCTAATTGTGGACATCCTTTACAAAATATTGAATGTTGGAGAGTTCAAAATAAAGAGGAATTTACATGTAACTTTCCCATTGATATTACATTATCTGATTGTGGGCATACATTTAAGGTTAAATGTTGTAAAAAAGAAAATACACGTAAATGTAATTATCTTGTTGATATTGAATTACCTTGTGGACATACATCAAATTATGTTGAATGTTGGAAAAAAGACAAAGTAAAAATCAAATGTATTACTTCCATTAATTTTGAATTATCTTGTGGACATATATTAGAGGGTATTAAGTGTTGGAGAACACAAACAAATAATACGCTTGAATGTAATTTTATTGGTGATATTACATTGCCTTGTGGACATGCATTCAAAAATGCTGAATGTAGAGAAAAAGAATCAATCAAGTGTACAGAACTAATCACAAAAAGTATGTCTCGCTGTGAACACATTAATGACATCCAGGTATATTTATTTTCATAGTATTGGATATTTTATGTTTAAATAATTTTTATCATTAATTATAATTATTTTAACTATTTTATATTAAGTGTTCTGAATCATCTAATGACGATATTCAATGTAAAAAGAATTGTGGAATACGATTGGAATGTGGCCACGAGTGTTTAAAGGCTTGTTTTAAATGTCAAGAACGGACTATATCACAAAATTTCGGATACGAAAACGAAATAATAGAGAGGACAGATCATGGAAAATGTAAAACTAAATGTAATAAGTTATTATATTGTGGACATAGGTGTAAGCAATATTGCCATAAGGGTGAATGTCGGCCATGTAATGATAAATGTGCGATATCATGTGAGCACACTAAAAAAGTATGTAATAAAAATTGTTTAGAACCCTGTGCTGTATGTGCAGAACAGTGTTCGTGGGAATGTGAGCATGGAAAATGCGATTTGAGCTGTGGAATTCCTTGTGATAGATTACCTTGTGATGAAAGATGTGATAAAAAAGTGAAATGTGGTCACAAATGTGCTGGAATTTGTGGTGAAACTTGCCCTACTCATTGTGCTAACACTAACTGTGTTCAAGAAAAAATTAGAAATCAAGGTAAGCATTTGTAAATCATTTGCTATTTTATAAAACTTAATGATCTTTATTAACATTAATATTATTAATATTATTATTTTTGGAACAGTATCAGATATAATCAATAATATTACATTTAGTATGGTAGATTGGAATAAAGAAAAGATGGTTGCTCTTCCTTGTGGGCATATATATACAATGAAATCTATGGATATGCTTATGGAAATGGGAGATTATTATGAAGGTTCAATTGATGGAAGATGGACGTCAGTTAAAACATTTCCAGCTTCAACAAATATAAAAACATGCCCGGAATGTCAAGCACCAATCAAAGATATTAAAAGATATGGAAGGATTATTAAAAAATGCACATTGGAAATACAGAACAAGAAATTCATATCAAAATATGACGACGAATTAAACAAAATTGCTAATTGTATTGTAGCATCTTTTAAGAAAATGGAAACAAAGAGAAATAAATTAAGAAATAATTTATGTGTTATTTCTAAATTAAAAACAAAAGAAGAATTTAAGGATAAAGATAGAATATTGCCGGAAATTACTCGTTATCATTATTTTGAGTGCATTGCAGAATATCATGGATTTGATGAAAATAGTCAACAAGTATGGGTTAGTCACGTTAAAAAATTATTAAATTGCTATGAAAATTTGTTTCCCATTATTCGTACCACAAAAATACCACCTCATAAAAGAGCTCTTGTTGTAAGTTTGTAAGTATACACAATTTTTTTAATGAACGTTTTTTTTAAATATTTTATATTGATTTTATTTATAATTTACTAGAAATGCAAAGCAAGAATTAACTTTCATGCCGAAATTAGATCAATTAAATCATAGAATTTATTCAATTTATGTAGATGGTGTTTTGAAAGTTATCCATATACAAAAAATCTTGTATAATGAAATTTTATTCATAATTGAAGAATTATCTTTAGTAGAAAAAAATGTTACAGATATTAAAGAACTTTGGAAAGATTTTGCTGAAAAATTACAACAATCTATTCAAGACCATTTATTCATAATTAAAGATGTAACAAAATCTACTAATTATGGTATACATTCATTTTTAGTTAATTTGGAAATGATAGAATTTGATATGATGATGCTTAAATATCCACATAAGAGAAATTTTATCAGTAAAGCAGAAATTAAGAAACAACATGAAGGTGTTGTAAAAAGAATCGCATATATATCTAAAAGTTTCGATTACATAAACGTTGAAGAAGAACCCAGGAAGGTTATTTATAATAGAATAGAAACATTATGGGAAAATAATGAAAAATTTGAAAAGGAAAATTTAAAGTATTGAAGAAAATTAGAAATTCATCAAACTGACAAGTTTTAAGTGCGTTGATTATTTTAATCTTAAAAAAAATATTTATATATTATGACATACTCTATGTAAAACACAATTACACAATTAAATAAATTTAAATATTAATAATAAAAATCACATTATAAAAAATTTAGTACCTAACGTTTTTTTTATATTTCATAAACCCACTTTATAAATTTATCTTAGGATTATATTTCACCAATTTATATTTAAGTAAATTTCATTTATACGGTGTGGCATATTAATTAAAGTATACTTTTTTATGTTTCTTAATTTTTTTAAAAAAGAATAAGAATAATTAAAATATTGTCATATTGTTTACATATATTGCGTCAAATAGACAATTTAAAATAATTAAAAAAAATAATAGACATGAAAATTTGCAAATTTATACAATCAGTTATTTATTTTTGTTGATTATTATTTAATTCTTTAGAAAAAATATTTCACCTATTTCGTTTAATTATTTCTCTTTTTTATGATAATCCACCAAGAACGAATAAAAACTTGCTCATTTGTGAGGAGTCTGATTGCGAAGAAAATTATTGATTAATTAACTTCAAGTCGCTTGACAAATATATTTTTTTTTAACTTAGTTCGGTTTTCAATTTTATTAAGTATCTTGATGTAATAAATCTAATACATTACAAAGAAAGAATAAAAACTAGTTCCTCAACCTACGCAAACAAATCTATAGTAGGTGAACTCAACCTTGCAGGCTCAACAAAAAATTTGTTTGATCGATATAAAATACCTTCAATTTGATCAGATTGGCTAGTGATGTCATTGTGTAATAGAATTATGAGCTTAAGCATAGTACCTTTTATATTTTAAAAATTTCTTGCATTAAAATAATAATTTTTGCTGTATTGAAAAAAATGCATTTTTTGTTATACTAAAAATAAAATAAATTGAAATGATTACACTAAGTTAGTCAAATTGTCGAATTTATTTTATTTTATATTTTATTGTACTATTTTTTTTTTTTTTCTCGATTTTTTAAAAACAATATCAGGTTCCTGCAATGGTAGGCATCAATCTTTAATTTTGCTATTATTATTTTTTAATTTTTTCGGAACTCATGGATCAGATGATGCGGTATCATGGTAAGTGTTGACCGATTCTTACTGTTACTGCTAATTATAATTGACTAATCAATATTGATTAATCGTTCTAATTTAGTTATTACCGCTAGCTTTAATGATAATTATCCAAATATGGTATTGCCTGGTTAACTTAGAACGGATTGTGCAATTTATATTGAATGTTGCAACAATTAAAATAAACAATTATATTTAAAATAGTTGAATTTATTTGGCAATGATGTAATTCAAATTAAATCAATCTTATATATACATATATTTATTTATTTAATTGATAAAAATAACATTGCAGAAATTTTTTAATTTTTAATAGACCTTATACAATCATTACAGTAAGTTTAAATAGGTTGTATTGTACGTGATAAATTGGAAGTTCGGAATATCTTTTAACATTCGATAATTACTGCATCAAACCTAATTGCTATATAAATGAGACATTAATGTCATTTTTTAAAAGAAATGTATGAATGAATAACTATTAGTCATTCCAATATTTCAAAGGACTTTTCTTTATTATATTAAATAATGCTGATTAATATAATGTTATTATTCAAATAAAATATTAAGGAATTTCGAACACATTCAGTTATTTTACGTGCTCATTCTTATTTCAAAGACGCTCTTTAAGATGATTGGATTACGAAGAAAATAATATAATTTTGTTAATAAACCAAATGTTGTTCTAATTATTTATGAAATGATTTAAAGTGAATAATTAAAATAATTTAATATAAGCATTATTTATTTAAATTATTTTAATAAAAAAAAATATGAAAAATATGTCAGTTATTTTAAAGTATATTTACGCTGGAGAATGAAGCCATTCTCGGATTATTGTTTCAGCTGATGAATTACTACTTAAATAATTATTTGGTCACGTTCAAGATTATTTAATTGAAGAACAAAATAGCAGGATTGATAAAATTTTATTCTTGTTCTTCTTGCTGTATTTAATCTTCCTATCTGGTTGCAAGAAATCAGTACAAGATTATTGTATTGATTCTATCTACAAAGATCCGCTACATTTATATTTTCAAAATCTATAAATAAGGTTGATCTTATCGTGAAATTTATTGTATTGCATAGACATTACATCAAGTTCTGACTGTAATTACGAAAAATAAACCATGAAAAGCTTTAAGAACAAACTTCCATCCATCAAAATATGAATATAGTAATTAATATAAAAAATAATATAAACAAATAATATAAAACTATTAATACAAACTAAAATAAATATTTTTTAACCTTTTTTTACAGCAGCTGAAATTAGTTAATTTTGATAAAGTTTTTCTTCTGAGAAGAGGGGATATAGGACGTTTAGTTAATAACTTAAATCCGGGATCATTTTATTTCGCCATATAATAAATAATTATAAATCAAAGTATAAAGGATCGTGTACTACGAATTGATCTTGCTTTGTCTAAAATATAAATAAATCATTCATATCTACATAATGCCCAGTCATTCATATGAATAAAAATAATGTTAATATTGGTGATATTAACAAAAAACCTATTATCAGTTATATCTACTATATATTTATTCGATGGACATTTATTATTACCATAATATATAAGTTCATTTTTCGGTTCTTTTGATGCTTTTGCCTATTGATATTGATATTGACACTAATCCGATAGTTAATTCTCAAATATTGACTAGTGAATTTAATTGACCAAAAAAATATTAATTATTACATTATTACATAATTGATCATGTTCTTAATCACAGGATTCGAGAAAATTTGTATTACAAGGAGTAAACTTTTCCCGAACTATGATTAATTTCGGCTAGATTAGGTTGATATTCTAAATTTATCGATCAATTGATTGATTAAAAAATTAGTTTTTCTTTGAAATACTATTGTTTTACTTAAAAAATATTGAATTAATTTCATCCACTTAATTTGAAATATGCGTCAAATAACACAATTATTATATGACTACAAATGTTAAAAAAATGATTACTTAATATTGAATATGAGCGTGATTGTATGAACAAAATTTCGAGGATTTTGTACCTCTTTCTCTTGTTGAAGATGACCAAAATGATTATTTTAATATATAATGTTTATAATATCAAAAATTCATCATGTACGGTACATCATGACACTAGAATCAAAATAATCCAATGCAATGTTCTTAATTTTCATATCCACTGAATTTATCTTGATATATATACATATACATATATAATACTTTTCTTCTGATAAAGAATTATTCACTAATAATTATGGTAGTTAATATTTAATAATCATTGATAAAATAAGTGTAAATTATTTAATTTATTGTGAAAGATTAGGATTTATATTACGAAATAAAAATCAATTAGGTTAATTGCGGAAACCAAAAGCAAAAAAAAATAACATGTTTGCTTATTAATGCTTATATATTTTGATTGATTAATTGCAATCCTTTTCATCTCGAATGAATTTTAGTTAACTTGATCTAACTACTTTAAGTTCCTAAATAATAAAATAGTTTTGATTATTATTTTTTAAATTCAGTAAAATCAGTACTTCTTTTTAGATTGGCTTTATTCAAGTAGATAATTAGATAATGTACTACGGTTATTTGATTAAAATAAAATATTACGCATAAAATGATACAATCAAATGAAATTTCACTAAAAATTTGTGACAATTATCATTGAGCAAAGATACATTGAGCGAAATATTTGCAGTTGCAAATATACTTACTGTATTACAGTTTTATGTAAAAGTTGCGCGTGATATAATTCTTAAAATTTAAAATCTTATTTATATAGAATATTCTTAAATATAAAATCCAATAATCTATATGTACTACATATTAAAAAAAAAATAAGATAAAAATTTATAAAGTTTAAATGAAAGAAAAATAAAGGTAAACTAACTTCAATACATAAACTATTTGACTTCAACTTTCACATAAAAGAAACTTCATTCAATATTATATTCATTGTCTTGACAAATTTCATTTAGTTCTATAAAAAAAAGTTTAAATTATATATTATGCAACAAAAATAAGTAAATTAGATATAGAATATCAATAAAATTACAAATAAAAATAACTTACCTAATTCACTTAATTGAACATCTAAGCATTCTGAAACTGTATATTATGTATTTATAGTATATTTAAATGTTAACAAAATTAAATAAAATAATTATAATAATAAAGGGAATACTTACTTGGATTTGCCGATGTTGATTGAGTAGTATAACTAGTGTCTATTAAAAAATAAAAATAACATCAATAATGTAAAATGGATTATATGATAAAACAAAATCAAATTAAATTACCTGAACTGAATTGAAAAGATGATAAATCTAAAGAATTTACTGGTTTTGAAAGATTTTTGAAATTTAAAAGTCTACTAGTATAAATTGCTTGTGGATGTATTTTGAAGCTTTTGGGTTTATCTTCACTTGACCTGTTTTTGAATTTTTCTTTTCTAATTTTATCACATTCTTCTATTTGAAAATAAATTTCAGTTTCGCTATTATATTTTTCCCCATCCCATCTTGTTAATAGTTGATACAATTCTTTAGTAATTGGTCTATTTTTTATTTCAGGATCCCAACATTTTATTATCAAATCTGCAAGTAACTTTGGTATGTCTTTAGAAATTGTTGGTCTAAGTCCTTTACATATTTTAATAGCTAAAAATTCATCATGAGGAATATCATTAAAAGGAATTTCTTCAGAAAGAAATTCATTCATTATTATTCCTAATGAGTAAATATCTGCTGCTTTTGTATATTGTTGTCCACGTAAAACTTCTGGTGCCATATATGGTAATACTCCATAAATTCCTTCTTCTTTAACTGTTTGCTTTATATTTGTTGGTTGACACATTCCTAAATCACTTATATATGAAAATCTTTTAGATATTAATATATTACCTGAATGAAAATCTTTGTGAACTTTTTCAGCATTATGAATATCTAAAAGTCCTCTTGCAATTTGTTGTAATTGATAAATTTTTAAATTATAATTTATATAATTTTTAGATCTATTTAAATAATTTCTCAAATTTCCATCATCACAATATTCTATAACCATCATATACTCTTTATTATTTGGATCTTGAGTAATTCCAAAACATTGAACAATATCTACAAGATGAATCTGAAGATGAGATTTAATCTAATGATCATCAAAAAGGAAAAGTTTTATTAGTAAATAAATGCAAATAACAAACTTTATATATAAGACAAAATAAGTTTAAATTACCTCATTTAAAAAATCTGAACATACATCAGATGAATTATTATTTAAACTTTTTAATGCATATTCACCAAAATTATTTCTATACCATTTTTGATTTATAATATCCCAGAATTCAATATGTCCTTCAGGCCATTCAGCTGAATAAATCTTACCAAAACCACCTTCTGCAATATAAGTGATATTTTGAAATTTTTCAAAAGGTATCCATTCAAGATATTTATTATAATGTACAGCATTAAGTTGTGATTGCTGTATAAATTCATCAATATCCTTATTTTCACTGGTCCAATTTTTAAAGTTATCTTTAAATCTTTTAGCATTACAAGGTTGACACCATTTGTTTCCTGTGCCAGGTTCTTTACATTCTCCACATATTCCATATGCTTGTTTTCTTTTTTCTAAATCTCCTATATAAACTACTCTTTCATCTACATTTTCTGATTCAATAGTTGAATCAATAGTAGGAATAGTAACATGGAACTTTTAATAGACAAAAAATTATTAATATTTTTAACTACAAAAATTCAATAAAAAAATTATAATTATTAAAAATATTAAATTACCAAATATTTACTTAAATCAGTATTCTCCCATAAATTTTTTGGGGTTTCATCCATATTAATTGAGCTGTGAATTATAATTTTAATTTTAGTTATATATATAAATAAATGACTATGTTACTCTAAATAAATTTCAGAATTATTATGGGCAAAAGAAAAAAAATTATGGTTCAATAAATTAATAAATTGCGCACATTTGTATTACTTATTTGTATTACTATTGGTACTACTATTGTGTACAAAAATTACTATTTTTGTAACAAAGAAAATCGTAAGCAACAGCTGAAAATAAATCTAACCCGAAATGGTTAAAATGAAAATTGCGAAGTAAAATTTTTTTCATTTTTTTTGGTAGATCATATAATTTTTTTTTTATGTATTTTCAAAAAAATAAATAGCAATAAGCCTATATTAGAAAAATCATTGCCAAATTATATATCAAAAAATAAATTAGTTTGGAATAAAAATTTTAATTAATATATTTTTAATTAACGAAAATCAAGATTATAGTTCGCACAAACCGCAGTGATGTAACTATTGGAGGAATCTTCCAATTCTTCCAATTCCAACTCTTTCAATTCCAATAAATTTTTATTGGAGGCTTCCAATGCACATCACTGCACATAAGCTTTTTTGTCTTTACGCTAAGAGGATAAATAATAATATTGTATGATTGGTTAAATGAACCTTGTCTAGTAAATATGGTAAATGAAAGAAATGTAAGGTATTTCCATATGGAGAAGATAATATTATGAAGATGAGCAAACATTGTAAGATCAAAAATTTTATTGTATATATGTAAATTATTAACAATCTTGAAAAGTTTATTACGCAATTTTAAATTGAGTAAATTTAAACAAAAAGAAAATTCATTTATCTTTTATCTTTAACGATATTTATTTAATTATATATTAAGAGATATATTTTTTGAATTGAGACCATATCTTCCATATTACCTTTGCACTAATCTTACTAATTTTGATGAGGCATAAAAAAAATTAAGAATGAATAGTATGAAAATTATGGTCAAGTAGTAAATAGCTCAAATCAATTTCTACGATAAAATATTAATAAATGTTTTAAAAAGGACAATCTAATGGACTACAGGTTTCATGAAGATAAATAGTACATCATATTTTGAATATTGTATTTTATAGAGAATTTTTAAAATTAATGCAGAAAATGTCAAATACTTCACGAAGAATGAATAATTTGACAACCTAAAGAACAATAATTAGAAAGATCAGGATTCAGGCATAATATGAAGTAATGCTCAAAAGTTGGAGAATGCTGAGAATGTTTATAGATATTCAGTTGGTTTTATAGGTGCATGTTTTAAATTTATTTTACAAAATTACATTTCTATTAACTCATATCAAGCATAAAACTATAGCTTACGATATAATTGAGTCACTTTATATAACTCATGATAGTAATGCAAATTTATCAAGACTTTACACAGGAAATATTTTATTCACAATATCATGATTCCTAATATATAAGTGATTTTGGATTTGTGACCTGCTAAAATTATATAAAAAACCAAATCAATAATTTAGGAAATTTAAATATATTTATTCAATTTATTATTAATTTTCTTATAATTGATTACAAACTGGTCCATTTAATACTCTATCTATAATTCCAGTGATCAAATTATAAAACTAGCATAATATTAAAATTATTTTGCTTGTACTATTTCTTCCAATAATTTTTCTAATCTCTCTAACTTATCTAATTTCTCACAAGAAGATTTTTCTAATTCTTCTAACTTAGCTAATTTCTCACAATAAGATTCCCCTAATTTTTCTAACTTATCTAATTTCTCTAATTTCTCCAACTTATTTAATTTCTCATCATTAGATTTTAATCTCTCTTCATTAGATTTTAACTTCTCTTCATTGGATTTTAATTTCTCTAATATTACCTCATTATCAATAGGATTATGTTTAATTTGAAGTACTTCTAATAATTTTTTCCGCATCTCTGTGAATTCCTTAGTATCCCATTCACCTTCTTTAATCAATCTTTTAATTTCTATTTGAGTCTTATCAGCATCAGCATAATAATGTCTTGAAAAATGAATTGAAAAATTAATAAAATCATAGTATTAATGTTTTTAAAAAAAGCAAAATTACATACATTACTTCAGGAAACCATGTTCGCCAACGTCTCTGATGTGGTAGCAGGTAAAATAACTCAATTTCAGCCAAAACCTTTAAAATAAAAATTGAGACATATTAGTATATTTTCAGAAATGATATTCTGTTTCTATATTTATATAATATATTTTTTTATAAAATTATATATAATTTTCCTTTAAGAGTTAAGGAATTATATAGTTTCTGTTATATTAATATTATTTACCTCTGCCTTCTGCATTAAATATGAGACTCTATTATTATCTTCTTCAATTGCATTACTGAGTAATCCAATTAACAAGTTCATAAGATATATAACAATTAAAAGGGAAAATAAAACAATCAATATTGCAATTGATGGATTGTCTGCATATGGCCAATTGGATAATGCGCTTGAATCACCTATTGATGTAGAAAGAAGAATTGCTTAAAAATATTAGAAAAATATTTATGTAATAAATTATGAAATTTTAAATATACCTGTTAAAAATAAATACATAGCAAAAAGAGAAGTTCTAATATCTACAAACATGTTTGTATTTTTATCAGGAATTTGAAACATAAATGGATTGGAGTTGATATTTCCATCATTATCAATTATTTGGCTATAACTAGGAACTAAATTCCAAGGATTATTTGGATCATACTCATTTGTATTATGTTGATCAAGTGAAAATTTAGATCTTGGTGATAATAAAATATAAAATGCATGTGCAAAACTTATTATAATAATGAATAAGACTAATAAAAAAGAAAAAATCTTTTTTCCGACACTAATAATAATTGCAAAATATACACCAAAATATTCAAATGCTCTAAAAAATAACAAAAATTTTATATCCAAAAATAAGCATGAAAAAGAAAGCAATTGAATTAGATAATTATTGTTTTTATCATTTGTTTGAAGCCAATAAATAGAAGTGTAAGTTGAAAGCACATAAGCAATTATATCTGAAATATTAAATTATTACAAAATTAATTTCATTCTTTAAAATATTGTAAAATAATTAAATTAAACATTTTATATTTACCAAATATATTCCAAAAATTGTAGAACCACTTAGTAATATTATTAAAAAATTGACGAATTTCAAAAATCAGATGAATAAATCCAAGTATAATTGAAGCAAAAAAAAGTTGTTGTCTAACTTCTTCATTGATATATTGCTGAGGAATCGTTGCAGCAGCCGTAAAGCATCCAAGTAAAGCCATAAATAAAATCCAAATCATTACATAATAATATTTTCCATAAGCATTCCATTTAAAATTAATTAATGCTTCTCCACTCCATGTTTTATAAATATTTCTATTTATTGTTTCAGTAAATGGACTAGGTTGAGGTTTAATTAATTCTAAAAACCAATTATAATCTTTTGAATAATTAACAAAATTAATATAAGGAACCATAAAAGTAATTGTTGGTATTGTTGTTACTATATTTTTTTTAAAAAATTTAATAATAGAAGGAATATAGAAATAAACTATAGAAAATGCATCCATAATGTAAATATTATTAATAAAATCGTATTTTGATAAAATATAAAATGTAGCCAAATAAAAGGGTAAAGTTATAAGTATTATTAAAGCTTGGGTAGCACATATAATTAAAAATAATAAATCTGTATAACCAAATATGCAATAAAGTTTATAATGGTACTTCGTCCACAAAAGAGATTGAGATAAATTAGCTATTTGAGGAGATTGAATAAAAGGATAAAGATGTACTAAATTTTTATTTCGATTCTTTTTAATATAAAAAGATGAATATATGATCATATTCGTTTCTGATGAATATTTTAGAATATATTCTGGATAATATTCATTTAATAATGGCATTGTGGAAGTGATAATGCTTAGAAATGACTTATTATTCATTAAATCCTCTTTAAAATATGTCATACAATTTTTATAGATATCATTAATTAATTCTAAATCATGTACTTTAATTGCATGTGTTAATGAATCAACTCCATATTTCAAAAGACTTGACTTATTATTTCTTGTTTTTTCATAAATATCTTTAATTAATTCTAACTCATGTTCTTTAATTGCAAATGTTAATAATTCAGCATCATATTTCAAAAGACTTGACATATTATTCCTTAAATCAGAAACCCACATAGGTAATCTAAAACTATCATAATTTGGTGATGGTAAAGTAGATTTTGAAAATATGCTTTTGTAATGTTTAAGTGTTTTTATATACTCTTTACTATTCCCATAATTCTTTAATTTCATAGAATAAAAATAGTTTAAAGAAATTCCGTTATTTTCACTAAAAGTAAAAATGAGAATACCAAATGTTGTCAATATAACAATATCATTATTAAATAATGAGCTCACAATTAAACCATGATTGTAGAAATACGTAGACATTTCAACTCTCATGTTAATGCATTTCCATTTAATATTGATTTTTTTGAAAAAACTCAGTTCAATTTTACTATCATCAAGATATATTTCCCATTTAATTAAATTTCCAGTTAATTTAGTTGATTTTTTAATATTATAATCAACATTTGTTATGACTTTTTGAAATAATGTAGACACAGTATCCACATATAGATTAAATGAATTAACATTTAAGTATTCACCAATGTTATTATTTTCATTATTTAATCCATCAGAATTTTCGGATGAAAAGTTCGTCTTTGACATCTTTTCGTCAAATTTAGATTTCCAAACACGTCCATTTAAAATTCCAAACACAAACTTTGTTTTTTTATCAGTTGGTTCATCAGTTGGTTTAAACCTATTCCTATTTTTGTATTTATTGTTCCAGCAATATTTGATTTCTTTATCTGGTGTATAATAGAATAAAGAAGGTAAAAGAAATAAACCAGTACGATTCATAAAATTATAAAGTTGAATATCTAAATAAAAAAAATGATGATTTAATATGAGTAATAATTAACGCATAAATAAAATTTTAAAATGGTTACCATTATTTATTTCCAAAGAAGCAATAGGAATTTTCAATTCGATTGAATAAACGATGATTTTATCTTTGATTTTTAGAAAAATAAACTTTTCATTACTGAATATTCCGATATTATATGTTCCAAACTAAAAAAAATAATTAGTATTTATATATTTAATTATAATTTAACATTGATTGGTTTGAAAATAAATTTTATAATATTTATTACCTTATTCTCATTATTACCAAATATTTTTACACTTCTTTCAATATTAATATCCCATTCATAAATGTAATCATTTGAATTCAGGTAAACTTTATCATATTTTGATATACTAATTAATCCATAACCTTCAGGTATCCTGTAAAATCTTTTACATTCCCATTTGTCATTTTTAGTTTGTGTGGAATATATCCAAATAATACTATGGTATTTAGAATTAGTGTGAACTGAACTATATAAAACAAATTCATTTTTTGAATTAAAGATACAATACTTTACTTTAACTCCTTTACCAAAACTTAATGCAATATTTTTATCATTATTCATATCGATTACTAAAAATATTAAATAAATATCAATTACCATAATTTAATAATTTCATGATCAAATAATTATTACTTACCAGTAATAGTATATTCTCTATAAATTTTATAATGGTCAATAGTAGTAATACGAGTAATATAAGCAAGTTTCTTATCATCAGAAACACATAAACTTTCAATTTTATATTTCTTATCTTTATTATCTTCATTAATTTTAACAATTTGATGAAATTTAAGTTGAACCTTATCTATGTCTTCAACATTCCAACCGATAATTGAACGATCTTCATTACTATAAGTAATAAGGTAGTTTTCATTTGGTGATATTTCTATCCTGGTAATAGGTTTGCCATTATGTGGTTCATAATCGAAGGTAAATATTTTATATATTTTATCATCATCATTTTTATCAACTTCGATTTTATCAAAATCTATTTTATCAACTTCGATTTCGATTTTGTTAGCATCATCGTAAATTTCGATTATTGAATTGTCACTCATTTGCGATTATATACTTTTTTTTTATTTGAAATACGTGTAAATATGTATGGTTGTAAAATTTCTCCTTTTACATAAAAAAAAAATCTTTTTTTTAGTTAACACATGCATAAATATGTATGGCTGTTCATAAAATTTCGCCTCTTGCATGAAAAAAAAATTTTTTCTTATTATGAAAAATTAATTGAGCAATGATCAACTTTCGACATAAAAAATTTTGTGTCCAATTTTAAGTATTTTTTTTTATTTGTGCATATATATAAGGAAATCTCAAATGAAAATATGGCGTTTTTAAGAACGATACTAAGATCGGCATCATTGAAGAAATCCTTATTAGGAAAATGGTTTCATATAAAAAATTGATTAATAAAGAAAAATAAACAAAGTAATCAAAGATAATCTTTTTACGAATGTAGCAAATAAGATATGAACACTGCTATGTTACATGCCCACAATTTCTAAAGGTAAAAGATATTCAAATTTAAAATTTTTTCAGTATTATCCGAAAGTTCTGCAATCACTTATTTTCGAATTTGAATTTATTTATTTTTCTTTGTTTTTTTTAATTTTCATTTAATCAGTTAATGCAAGCAATAACGAGCTTGCTCCTTAATGTAAAGCAGTATTAAAAATTCAGAAAACAAACATGTTTCGCAAAATGCACAATGATGATAAACTTGACCAAAAATCGGTTTTATGCATAAATTAATTAAATAAATGGGCGTTTTATAATGGAACGTATTTTTTTTTTAAAAAGTATTATTTTTTTTTAACGGGAGAAATTATTGGCTAGAATATCAACCATCTTAAGTAATTTTTTTTTAAACAAAAGAAACCACAAATCTTTGAAAGTTTTCAAAAAATTTTTTTTTTCATATTTTATTTATTTTTTCTTTTTTAACTCACGCATATCGTCATAAATAAAAAAAATGGTTTAACCAATTATTTTCTTTTGAAAAAAATTTATAAAAATATAAACTGTTTTGATTCAAAAATTATTTCTTAATAAAAAAACAAATCATAAATACAATAATTATGCTCGCGAAACTTATCAATTCTGTCACTGAACGGGATAACCATGGAAATTAAAGTAATATCTTTTATTCCAAAAGATAATTCTGTACCCAAATGAGTTTCTGTATTTGAAGCTAAGATTTACAGGAAAATTTTCTCTTAACAAACAACCTCTTCATATGTTATTAGAAATAATATTATATTACATAATTATATTAGTTAATTAATAAAACAGATACTGTATGTGTTATTTTGTTTTTATAAAAAAATTCTATTATTTAGGTTGAAAATATTAAGTAATCTCACTTAGCAAAAATATTATTAATCAAAAAGTTGTTCATAAGTTTTTATACTAAAATTAAAAAAATCTAAATCTGACCCGGCCATACTAATTTTCGCCCCAGGTTCTCATTGGATCCGACGTGAAATTAGCTCGGATTCCATATAATGACGGTAGGAGACATGGGTCCGGATGATTACAAATGATTCCAAATTACAAATGATTACAAATTAAAAAAATTCCAGATGATGATCAATCGGACTTGGTTTACCAGCCAGAATCGACGGAAGTTAGGGGCGAAAATTAGTATAGCCGATCTGACTCTCCGGATGTTGATCGAAAATTTTTGCATTTACAGCAGTGCTGCCTTATAATTTTTTATTTTTAATAGCTTTTTTTTAAAGTAAATTTTTATTTTAAAAGACAAATAATATTTT